CACCCCCTGGCTCTCCACTCTGAATCTTACTACTGCCACAGTGGCTTCAGTTCTTTGAGATCGAGTCCAATACTTCTTCGTTGCATGGTTGAAAGACAACCTGTGAGCATGTCAAGGGAGGAGGGAGAGACAGGTGTCATGGTTTGGTATCTATAATAGCTGAGCAGCCTTATGCTCAAGAGCAGAGACACACCTTTGTAATTTATATATCCTCAGAGTCTGACATAATATTTACTTTCTAGTATCCTATGGATAAATGTGTGGGCCAGGAGGGATATCAGTGTGAAAAATAGCCCTGAGGTTCTGCTAAGATGTAAAGGACCATGGATGTTACCATTTTCCATATTAATCATTAAATTTATTTCTCTATTAACAGGGACAGACATAAAACAAGAAAAGGTACTTAATATGATAAAAGGAAGACACAAGGAATCTCCTTTATGAAAAAAGTGTGACAAAACTATTCTGAGTAAATAAATTGGACTACTTCTGGAAATTGAACCTTTTTTTTAAAGATTTATTTATTTATACAAGAACTGGGGTTCATTCAGAGGCGCGGGAGGGTAAGAGAATTCACCAGAGACAGATGGGAAGCAGAACAGGCAGACAGACCGAAGACACTGCTGAGGGGAGCAGCAGGTGTTGTCGCAGGAGAGGTCTGCCGCGCCTGCGCCATGTGGGTTTCTCCCTGACTGGCCAGGAATCGAACCCGCGCTGCAGAGGCTGCAGACAACTTCACAGTGCAGCACTCAACCCACTGCGCCACCAGGGAGGCCCTACTTCTGGAAATTGATTGAATTTCAAATTCTTACATGTATTCTTGAATTTCCTTGCCCAGATAGAAGTTTCATGCTGCCATATAAAATTCTCACTGAGAAATTTCTCTGTCAGCCCTGCTCTAAATTTATTCATCTCTCCCATTCTAGATTTGTTCACCATAAATTCTCTAAAGGCACCAACCAACCCACCTAATAGTTAATATACATAAAGTTGAACATCGTTGATACATCCTTGGCAGGACCTACCAAAAACCAACCTGACTTTTTTTTTGTTTTCTGTTACTGACCCCAGTGGATTTGCATGTAAATGGCACCAAAATAATCATCATTAAATTCTTTCATTTGCCCCATATCAATGAACATTTCTAAGGAAATGTCCCCAGTGCCCCAGGTGCCAGCACTATAGAAATCACAACTTTGCAGGTCTTCCTACAGAACTACAAAGTCAAGGAGTAACACAGCACTTAAATCTCTTAGGCACATATGAGAGGCAATGAAGAAGACCCCAAAAAACAATGGAAATTCAATATGCAAAAAATTCAAACACTTTTAAATACATCCTTTATACACCCTTAAATATATACTTGTGTGGAAGGCATGGTGTTAACTGCTGGGAAGTCACAAAGATAATAGAAAAAATAAAAGAAATAGAGGAAACAAAATTCTCATAGACTACTGAGTTACATGTTGTTAAAAAAAATCTTTTGGGGGGATAATTTGTTTATATTATCAAAATTTTAACTGTATACATCCTTTAACCCAGAAATTCCATTCTAGAAATCTACTCTATTTAACAAAGATTTAAACAGTTCAGGAGAAGAGAATGTTTCCCTACCCTCCCTGAGACCCAGTGGTCACCCCTACATTCCAGTCCCTTCCCGAATATCACTGAGGGTTGTGATGAAATCCTGGAGTGGCCTCAGCACTATTAAGCTAGCCACAGCCTCTGCAGCATGAGTTCGATCCCTGGTCAGGGTGCTACCCACATGGTGCAGCAGACCTCTCCTGTCTCGCTCGCTGCTCCCCTCAGCAGTGTATTTCATTCAGTCTGCATGTTCTGCTCCCCACTCTGTCTCTGGTGAATCCTCTCACTACCACCAACTCCCTCACCCCCACACCTCTGGTCTATACCCCAGCTCTTGTATGCAAAAATTAATAAATAAAATTAATAGAGTTCAAATGAGATTCTTCCAGTTTCAGTGTTCACTTAAGACCATTGTCCAGAATCTGGATCCATGGTCACCCTTAGCTGCAAGGCAGGGCGAGTATCCCAGTAACTTCCAAAATATATCCTTTAAGGGAAGAGGCCCTTCCTTTGCCCTCTCTCCTCCTTGGTGGCTGAGGTTGGAGATCTGCATGAAGCCATCTTAGACCATGAGATGGGTCCCCTGCTAAGGACAGAGCAATTAGACTAAGGGGTTCTTGGTCTCTGAAACTTCATGAAGCTGCCCAGCCAAGCCTGGTCTAATTACCACCAGGACTTCTTTCACATGATAAATAACCTTCCTGTAGTCCACTCTTCAGGTAGGGTTCCCTGATACATGCAGTCAAATCTCATTTTAGTGATCCATGGGGTGACCAGCCTCCTAAAAATCTTTGTTTCCACCCCACAAGAGCCTTCTGCCTCTCCTGAGCTCTCCAAGCTCACCCAGCACTGAAGCCGCCTGTAGCAGAAACAGCACTTCAGCGACTGTCACCCGCAGAAGCCTTGAAAGTAAGAGCAGCTCAGGAAGCTGGAGAGGCAGAAGCCTAGTGTCTGTGCAGAGCATCTCACTGACCCCCAGGGGGCCCTCTCCCCTGCTCAGGTCATGCTGGATAGCTGTATGACATCATCAGGTCTCAAAGAAATTGAGGGACAATCAGGCTGAATATGGCAGCCTTTATCTTGATTTGTGCTTTAGTTAGGGGGAAATGATGTCCTGAGCTAATCCCATACAGGCTTTGTGGACCCCACCCGCACTCCAGACTAAAGCCATCAAGACATTGAGAAAGACAAATCCCATCACCACCAAAGGGAGGGTGGCTGGGACCTGCGGGTGGAGTTGGGCAGCCAGGTTAAATATAAAAACCAAACATGTGGGCCCTGGGGTGACTTGCTGTCGCTCGCCTCCTGGCTTCACGGCTCCTGGCTGGCATCCAGCTCTCAGAGCGCCATTTTGGGATTCCTGATCGGCGGATCGGGTAGGACTCATTTAAAACTTTGTCTCCCACTTTTCTCCCTGAGCTGTACATTTCCTCATTTCCCCTTCCCTTGTAAATAAACCTTTTATTAGCCTTTCGCGTGTGCCTGCAGGAGAGCATTGATAAGTCCTTTTAAGCGCGGGGGTGAGGACCCACAGTCAGGCACCCCGGTTTGTATCGGGGTTGCTCTACAACACTTTTGACTTTGCTCCTCTGCCCTTCTCAATGGTTCCCCGTCAGTAGGTGCCTTAACTTGTGGCAAGTTTTCAGGCTTCAGGAGCCCTGCTTTGGGCCAACCCTGTTTGGCTGGGCATTTATTTACCCATGAGGGAGTGGGTAACAGTATTTTATTGGAAACCACATCCTCTCTCTTCTCTCTCTGCACACTAACTTTATTAAAGTTCTTTTCTATTAAAGGTCATGCTCTAAGGTCATATTTTGTCTCTACGCTGGACAGGAGCATTAACCTTGACTTGTGCAAGCTTTCTGGCTTCAGTGGCCTTGCTTTGGGCCAACATTTGGCTTGGCTGGGCATTTATTTACCCCTGAGGGCCGTGGGTGACTGTGTATTTTATTGGGAAACCACATTCTTTCTCTTTTCTCTATGCACACTTTATTAAAGTTCTTTATTTATTAAAATTTCTATTAAGGGGGCCTCCCCGATGGTGCAGCGGTTGAGTGCTGGGCTGCGAAGCTCTGCAGTGCCAGTTCGATCCCCCACTGCCAGGTGAGGGTCCCACATGGTGCGCAGACCTCTCCTGCTGCACCCGCTGCTCCCCTCAGCAGTGTACTTCATCACTCCGCCTGCTCTGCTCTCCCCTCCGGCTCTGGTGAATTCTCTCACCCTCCCAACCCGCGCTTCTGACTGTACCCAGTGCTTGTATAAATAAATAAATAAATCTTTCAAAAACAAAACAAAACAAAAAAACACTAAAAAAAAAAAATTCTATTAAGGGTCATGCACTAAGGTCATACTTTGTCTCTATGCTGGGAAGGAGAATTAGCCTAGCTCCTAGAAGAGAGTTAGTAGATATTTAAAGGCCAAGTTCCTGAGGTGGGCAGGAGGAAAACAGGTCATAGCTTGTCCTGGGTTGGGCTATGCCTGGGCATGCGCAGACAGGTTACGTTCCCACTGAGCATGTGGGCTCTGGACTGAGTCAGGATCTACTGCTTTTGTCACATGGACCCTCGTGGTCAGTGTGGTAGGCCAGATTGTTGGACGGGGCTTCCAGGCTGTGAACAGGCTCCCCCTGTTCAAACAGTTCATCCTACCAACTTGCAATTTCCTGTATGTAGGTTGTCTCTGCCTAATGTCAGGTCTTCATTTATTAAGTGCATTCAAAAAAGATCTGGAGTATAGACCCAACTAGGGGACTTTTTATCAAAGTGGCTTGAAAAACTGGGAGAAACTCAGATAACAAATAGTGAACTTTTCCCTTAACAAGATTTCTAGAACATCTTGTTTCTCTTGCCTGAAAATGGTCCAGCACTTAGACTTCTGCTGCACTCCAGTGGCTCTGAGAATAAAAGCACCCAGCAAAGAACTCTCCATGACAACTCCCAGCCTACTGCAGCTCCCACAGAGGATTCCAAGGTGCAGCAGAGCCCAGGGCCCCAAAGGAGGAGTCTCTGAGGCCCATCACTCCAAACAGACCTTGAGCCTCAGTGAACACCCTCACCCCACCTTCAGTGTCTGGGCTCTATCCCACCCTCACAAATTACACTTCATTTCCCTTTTCTTAGTAATGGTATCCTGGTCCAGACTGGAGTTGGATCCACATCATTCAAAAGTTATAAGCTCATGGTGATATATCAGAACAGAATGGCAGTGGCCAGGAGGAGCGTCTAAATGAGTCAGCTTGGCCCTGGACAGGGCCAAGTTCCTCCCTCCTGGGACCTGCTCTACTGGAAAGAATTCCCCAACTTCTCTGCCAGTGTTGAGGCTGAGCCATGCCAGAGACTCCATCCCACAGCCATGTCCAAACGCCCAGCTCTCTTTCCTCATCTTAGCCCTCAAACAGCACAAACAAGAGTGTCAGTACCAGCCTTTATCAGGTAAAAGAAGCCCACACACCCACTCTACACCCCTGGGGCCATGTTTCCTATGCTTAGGGCAACAGCAGCAGCAGAAGTGGAGCAGAGAGGGCAACGAGACACCCTGGGTGCTTCACCCATCCTGGCCCATCAGGACAAGCTCCCTGGAATCACCAAAGCATTTCAGGACACATCAAGTCAGTCAGGGCACCAGGATATCTGCAAGAAGAAATAACAGGTCACAAGTTGTCCTTTCTGCCTCCAGCTCCCCTGATCTACTTCCCCTCCATCCTAGAGAAGCTTGTCATCTATTGCTCTCAAAAGCATTAAATGGCTCCCTGCTTCCTAGATAATTCAGCCCAAACTAGCATTGAAGACTCAGATCATTCAGATGTCAGCCTTATATCTGCTGTTATAAAAACAGTGCCCATTCCTTCATCCACTTCCACCCCACCCTCACCCCACTCTCCAAACAAGTCACAGGCCTTCCACCCCGTGCCTTTGCTAGCATCACAACCATGATCTCTGTACGAGACTTGGTATGTCTGATCTGTGACATGTGATCTTTCTCTCCAACTGTATACTCCAGGGCAAAACCTTTGTCCTGGCCTTCTGAAGTCCCCTACCCAGCACCTAAGCCAGTGCTTTGTAATAGCAGTTAAGTCGTTGTTGATGACAATAGACTATACTCACCTAATTCAGAATTAGGCCTGATGAGCCAGTGGGAGGCATGGCCAGTTTGGTTGGCAGAACTGTAGGGACACAGAAGCGGCCACAGCCTGACTTACAGCATCTCTCCCCAGCTTGGCAGTTCTCATCTGTCACGCAACCGATAATGCACAGGCCCACCAAGATTTTTGGACAATTGCCGTTCCGCCCTGTAGGATATAAACAGGCCCTGGTAGAGACAGGACAGTTGGCTCCACTGACTAGCTTCCCATTTGGGACTTAGGGAATCCACCCCTGATTCCAAGTAGATCTTAACCAAAGACCTGCTGAGGACACCTTGCAGCTGGAGGATCTGAACATCTGTAGGACCCATGAGGGCAGCTGGACCAATGATTTTCAAAGGGCGCCCCCAAGAGTTCCCAGGGGTACTGAAGAGTTTGATACTTCTCTAGGTTTGGGGTTACAGCTTGGGGTTACAGAAGGAGCAAGGCTCCCAGGCCACCACCCCCCACCATGCTTGGGTTCATGGTGTCAATTCTCTGCCATCCTAGATCAGGTTTGGTGCCCCTACCTAGTGCTCCTTTCACCAGCTTTTCATAATTCCTTATTTAGTTGTCAATAACCCTGAAAGGCTATACACAAGGACAAGAATCCGTCCCCAGTCTTTGAACATTGCCTGGGAATCTACAAAAGGACTAAGCCAACATGTGGGCCACTGATTCTGAAATGGAATTTCTCAGTGCCTGGCACAGAAGTGCACGCACAAAAATGTATTATATAGTCTTCCAATATATGTAAACATGTATTTTACATATATAGAAAGAACAAATATATGTATATATTTCTGGAGCCACGATGGGGTCAATCTATACCTGAAGCCTGCTCTGTCTCTGGACTCGTCAACAATAGGAGACAATAACTCCACATGTAGATGTAGACATATCACTTACATATAAATACATCTGTGTTTTTAAATCTATTAAGAAAATCAATAAAAAGATACTGAAGAAACAAAGGAATCAGAATTCGAACAGGAATGCTTTATGATTTTATCTATTGTATATGCTGCTCCCAATTAAGATTTCATTTGCCAGGGGGGAAGTTTTGTGCCGAGAATCAGTTCTGGAAACCATGATCCTGGGCAACTCCCTCATTTTACAGATGAAGAAACGGGCTCACCCCAGGTCAAGAGCAAACCTGTGGGAGAACCGAGATGAGAAGCTGCCTGTGGTCCAGTCTGGGGATTTTTTCCCACTACTCCATACGGCTTCCCCTGGTTCGCTTAATGCCCACATGGGCCCCTGAACCTAGGTGGAGGGGCTTCTTGGGGTGGGGGGACTAGGAGGAGAGGAAGATGAGAGTTCTGACTCCCCCCAGGGAGGCAAGAAAAAGGCCCTCCCCAACTGACGCTGGGACTCACGGAGCCCCGGGGATTTCTTCCCTGAGAAACATACCTCCCTTAATGTCTCCACGGCAGCTGTGGCCACAGCCGGTGCTGCAGCATTTATGCCCCTCGGGACAGGACGCGTCCTCATCACACAACTCCTCACACGGAAGGGGGTCGGCAGGGCACTCACCGCCAAACTCTGCGTAGAATCAGAGCGCTGGGACCCTGGGGTGCTCAAGCCCAGGGTTCCCTGTTACTTTTATTGTGACTCTGAGTAGAAAACACATTTCTCTTTGTGCCCTGTGCATGTTAATACATATGTATGTTTAAAATGTACATACTTATGTGCACACATGTATAAGCAAGGCTGGTACTTTATGTTCTTTGTGCATCTTTTTTATTTCAATGCTGGCCATAAACACTGACATTGAAGAATCCCAGTCTGAAAGACACTGCTGAGATCTAAACCACCGGGACAAACATGTTAGTTGCCAGCCCATGTTCCCTCTCCCAGCGTTCTACTGCAGTAGACCTCTACACCAGCGGCCCCCAGGACCCACACCTCCTGGGATCCACATCCTGGTGTGACCCTCACCCGTGGTGTCTCTGGCCTCGACCCGGTGAGTTACTTGGGCCACAGGACATCAGCAGGGGTGATGCCAGCACAGGCTTGGTGAGCACTGCCTTTGGGGGCTTGTCCTCTTAGCTCCCTCTTGGAATCGCCGCTGCCATGCTGAGAAGCAGCTGGGGCCAGACCACAGAGACCACAGCAGCCCTGGCACGCCTGGAGGGCTTCTTGTGATGGGAGAAAACACATCCCTATTTGATTCTCTGTTGACAACTATCCGACACATTACTGGTGTGCACCCTCGCCACCCGTGAAGGTAAGGCAGACGCCACAGAGGGAGGAGGCGCAGAAGCAGGACAAGACTCAGCCTCTAGTTGGCAAGGAAGCTCCTTCTACTACGCTCGCGCTCCCAGCCAGGCCCTCAGGAGCAGGCACACCCCAAGAAGACCACATCCAAACCGAACCCTCTCCATGTGACTCATTCGTCTCAGTGTTTGCTTCAAGGGATTGAAATGGAAAAAGGTGACAGGTGATTAAGGGCTTTGTGGAAAACCAAAGCAGGATTGGCCGGTGCCTCTGAGCAGGAAGTTTGGCTGCATGCGGCTGGCTCCGGGAAGTCTGCGGTGATGGAGAAAGCAGCGCTGGACTCCAGGGAGACACGTGTAAGCTCAACAATCAAGGTAGAATACCCTGCAAACGGAATCTTCCTGAACAGCTTCCCTGTTGAATATTTTATGCCACTGTCAGATCACCTCAAAACCATGTGCCCATCATTATTATTCAGATAATGAGGTCGCTGTCACCGCCAGTTGTATCTCCTCAGCACCCCCTCCTACTTCACAAAGGCTAAAATCCATCCAACAAAGAAGCCTTCTATCTCACAGTTAAGAAGGCTGGATGCAAAACACCTCCCTGGTGGAAAAACCCAGCAGCATAAACTTCTCAAGGAGTTACTCCAGGTACCCTGGAAAGTGCGGGCCTGGAGCATCACCCTCCCCCGGCATAGAGACCAAACCTCTACTCTCTTCCCCGTCAGGCCTCCTTGAGGTCCCTGGGGTTTTGCCAAATATTAAGCAACAAAGGCACCTTCGAGGGGTCGGCTCGTGGTCAGAGCTCATCCCCTTTGACCAAGATCCAGGGTGACCACCCATACTGATGACCGCCCAGACCCACTCCCTGACTGATGCTTGAATCCTTACCAAACAATTCCCTGCTCTCAGACTACGCATCCCCGTACTTTGGCTAGACAGCCGTAAGTCTAAGAAATGCCCTTCATACGCCACCAAAACCGGTCCTCTGGTTCTATCCTTTGGGCCTTTTCCTAGCCCCAGAGACTTTGCAAAAACATGGCCACGCCCTCTCCTTAGCGTCCTCTGCCTGCCACTGCCCAGGCGTTTTGTTCATGATTTATTTGTTGACTCACAACTTCCTATTTCTCACACAGAGGGTGAATCTGTGCGAGACTTGCTCCCTATCCGAGGTCCCGTGCCGGGGACAGCAGACCCTCAACACAGGTTGAATGAAGGAGTGAGTGAGTCTACATATGGGCCAAGCTTCAGACAGGTGGAAAAGAACCTGCACAGAGGCCCTGGGCGGAGCCGGGTGAGTCACAGAGCATTTGTTGGCAGGGCTTGAAAGGCCTTTCGTCTCACTTGCGTGATATACATTGAACGTTTGTGTTCCCCCAAAACGCACATGTTGAAACCAGTCCCCAGTGTGAGGGTACTTAGAAGTGGGGTCTTTGGGGGGTGATTATGACATCATGAAGGTAAAAGCCCACAAAGACATGTGTCCTGGTGGCCCTTCCACCACGTCAATTCTTCTCAAAACCAGAAGGTGGGCCCTCACCAGACACTGAGTCTGCTGGCACCGTGACCTTGGACTTCCCAGTCACCAGAATTGGGAGAAGTAGATTTCTGTTGTTATAAGCTCCCCAGTCTATGGTGTTCTGTCACCACAGCCTGACAGGGCTAAGACACTGCATGACTCTCTGTGAGATATTGATAAATATCCTTGTCCACTTCACAAGTGATAAAGGCGAGACTCAGAGAGATGGAAGGACTTGCCTGAGGACGCACAGCCAGCAAGCGGAGTCAGGACTCAGGCCAGAAGTGCCTTATGGGAGCAGTTCCCAGCCAGCCCTGTGCCCCCGGCCTCCTGGCTGTCCCTCCACCGCACCAAACAGACGGCACTGGCTGTGGTAAATCTCTGGCAGTGTCAGAGCTTAAGGAAAGCAGGAATTGTTAATAGCCCAGGAAAGGCCTTTCCTGTGGAGCTGGTTGAGGCCACCAGTAGCAGTGGGTGATGGTCCAGCTTCCCTCTAAGGCTGGGGTCTCAGGGGAGTAGCCAAAACCAACTCGCAATTAACACTGCCTCCCTCTTCTCCAGGAGTCCACTCAGCCAGAACCCTCAGACAGATCTGGGAGGAGATACCTCATTGTAGGTCCTCGTTGCAAAGTCAGAGAAGCCCCTTCTGGGCAACCAGGGCCCAAAGCAGCTCACAGGGGTGCCTAGCCTGGGTGCCAGCCTCACCCTCGGCCTCAGCAATTCAGCCATCAGCTTCAAACACTGGAAGATTGTGCCAGGCTCTATAAGCTGGCAGTGAAACACTCACCTGAGTCAGATTCCCAGACTCTGGTTCCAGAGCAGGGCCCAAGAGTGCTGGTGGCAAAGGAGCACAACCGTCTATTCTCCATCCTGGGCAGGGTGCCTAAGAGAGCTGCCTGAGGCACAGACAACCCTGATGGGGCCAGAAGGGCCTGGCACCTCAGCAGGGTTGGCTGCAAGGAAAGAGGCAGCCATGGGTGGTGGAGTTTCAGGGTCTCAGAGAGAAAGTGATCAGTAGGGGAGAAACCATACTCAAGCAAAAAAAAGGGAGCTAGTAGGGGAAGGGAACATGTTATACCATTGCCATGATCTCCGAAACCTAGACTAGCCTTTCCATTTTACAAAGAAGGGGACTGAGGCTCACAGAAGCAGAAGAGACTGGGGACACACTGGCCAGTAACTGGTGAGCCTCAGGCTTGAACCCAGCTACTTGACAACCCAAGCTTGGGCTTTTCCACTGTAATATGCAGCCACACACTCAGGTGAGAGAACAGCTCCAGTTCCTTTAGAAAAGACAAGGAAGAAAGAACAGAAGACCCCATTTAAGAAAGCAAAGCAGGGCCTCCCCGGTGGCGCAGCGGGGTGAGCACAGCGCTGTGAAGCTGTCTGCAGCCTTTGCAGCACTGGTTCAATTCCCAGCTGGCCAGGGAGATACCCACATGGCGGGGCAGATCTCTCCTGTCTTGCTCACTGCTCCCTCAGCAGTGCATAAATAAATAAATCTAAAAAAAAGGAAGAAAGAAAGCAAAGCAAAGTAAGTACCTTTAGGCATTCCTATATTGAGAACTATTTTAAAACTGTGTGTAGACAGAGGGGACAGTCTCAGAAACGAGCGAGTGGGGAAGTGTGTGCTGCTTTGCACAGGTATCCTGAGTCTATTTTGCTGTGTCTTTATAGGTTCCCCAGCTAAGATCTTAATAGGGACACTGAAAGTGCCCATGGGGATTGGGAATCAGCCAACCACTTTCCAATCTGCTGCAAATAAGGATCTTCAAATATGCGCTTCCTTCTGGAAGCCTCCTCTGCCTGCCCAGACCACATTGCACACATCATCATGTCTTGGGGACTATTTGTGTATCTTATTTTAGAAAAGTTCTCGGTATATGGCAGTCAATTATTGTTTTTCAAAGTAAAGTAAAACCAACAACAAGGTGGTGTGTGTACATTTGAAAAAGAAACAAGTAGGCCAAGCAGGACATGGAATGTGGGGTGCAGTTTCTTACCCAGCTTCTCTTTAGACATTGGGGCTACACAGCTCGCGTTGCAGCCAAACGTACAGCATTTCGTTATACCCAGACATGACTCATCGTTGACACAATTTTTAAAACAGGATGGATTCTGGACAACCCCGGGACACTCTCCTTTCCTCCCTGCAGCAAAAAAGGGAGAGGGCCACAAAAAAGAAAATATAGGTCATGGTGCCTGGTGACACCTATGGGCACAGCAAAGGGAAAAGCCAGACAAGGGAAAACCGGAACTTCACGAGGACACAGCCTGGTGCTAGAACAGACACAGTAATGACAGCGACAGCTCTGTTCATTGCAATGTTTGTCTTGTGCCAGGAACCTCCCTTTTGGGCCTCACAACAATTTTATGAGGACAGACAATTATCCCCACTTTGCAGATGAAGAAATTAAGGATTAAAAAGATAACACTTAAGAAGAGCTATTTAAGACTTAAAAAGGCCCGCCCGGGCTCTAAGTTCTACTCTTTTTATCACTATCTGAACCAGTGTCCCAACTTCCCAACTTCCCAGCCTTCACAGGACCCCCGAGTTCAAAGTAAAAGACAAATATAATAAGCAGTGAGTTCTTTCTTGATAGAAGGCAAAGAATTCAGGAGACTGAGCGCCCCAGGAAAAGAGCTCCCAAGAGGGGAGAGATGAGGTGCCCTCGGCAAGCTAGACTTAAAGAGCCAGTCTAGGGGGTTGGAAGCTTCTAACCCAAATGCAAGGTCAAAAAGCACACTTGGATGTTGCTGCCTTATGACAACATACCCTCAGGAATGCCTCCTTGGCAGACCCGACCACAGCCTGTGCTGCAGCACTTCTGCCCAGCTGGACACCATTCATCCCCCTGGCACAGGTCTTTGCATGGGTTCTCGTCAGGAGGACATTCTCCTTCTTTCACTGCAAAAGATAGCATGCCATGTTGGAGTAACTGGCCTCAAAAAAATGAACTTCAAGGACTTTCAGCCTCTGCAAACATTCTTAACCAAAATATCTCTGCAACCACTGTCCCCTTCTTCCACACAGCCACCAACATGCACCCACTGCTACTAAAGGACCAGACATCCTGCAGATGAAGAAAGAAAGGTGGGGTGACCTCATTCTCATTTAAGGAGTTCTAAGGGAAAGCTAGGCCCTCTGGTAAGCCACAGTGGAAGTCCTATCTCCTTGTCCAGAGAGGATGACAGAAGCCAGGAAGACTTCCCTGGCTGCATCCAGTTCTGTCCTACAGAGATGACTACCTCCACAGATAGAGACCCTGGCTCTGGGACCCAACAGGGGATGGCTTCTCCTCTATTAGCCAAGAATCACTTGGGAATGATCACTCACCATGCTCTCCTGCAGTCACCCAGGATGCCAGGAACCCAAGAACAAGCAGGGTCTTCAGGGAGAAGAGGCAGCTCAACATGTTGACAAGAGTTGCTGAGAGTTGAAATGAGAACTCAGTTCAGGCCAAACATGAACACCTTGCTCAGAATATCAACAAAGGAAAGGGCGGGACTAGGGGATTGGCCTAAACCCAGCCTCAGCAGCTTCTCTTCCACATTATTCCCCAGGGATGTCTTCTTCTAACAAGAAGAAAAGGGATTGGTTGGAGGATGGGTGGGGAAATTTCTGGCATTGCCAAAGAGCACATGTGATGGAGGCGATCAAATAAAGGAATGTCCACAAGACCCCTGGACAATGAGGACAGGTGGCAAAGTGGGGAGAGGGCCATCAAGTAAAGGATCAAAGAGAGGCCTAAAGGATTTTGGAAAGAGCAGGCACAGCCGAGATAACAGAGGGATGGAACAGAGGCATGACTTCATAAGGAAATAACCAAAGCCCATGAAATGCACTGTGCTCCTCGTCATCCTAGCAGCCTAGGAAACAGAATGGGAATTTGTATCCAACAGGCAGGGTAGAGGTCAGTGGATGGAAATTACTAAGAAGAAACATAAGCTAAATCAACCTAACAAGATTCTTGCTGAAGAAAGGCCAAAGTGATAAGACATCAGTTGGGGGAAGACAGAGAACGAGGAACCTAGCTAGATATGGAGAAACCTAGGTTAGATATCAGGATGTGGGGGCGGGGGAGGGGAGGTGTTGGTTAGGGGGTGGGGTGGGTCTTTCTGGCAAAACTGACTTAACAATATCCTTGATAATATTGCACAGTGTGAAAATAAACAGGGCCTCTGTTTAAAAATTCAAAGGAGGGCCTCCCCGGTGGCGCAGCGGTTGAGCGCTGGGTTGCAAAGCTGCCCGCAGCCTCTGCAGCTCCGGTTGGATCCCCGGCTGCTCCCCAGCCACCAGAGGAGGGTCCCACATGGCGCACAGACCTCTCCTGCCGCCCGCTGCTCCCCTCAGCAGTGTCCTTCGGTCCTTCTGCCTGCTCTGCTCCCCGCTCTGGCTCTGGTGAATTCTCTCACCCTCCCGTGCTTCTGACTGTACCCAGTGCTTGTATAAATAAATAAAAATAAATCTTTAAAAAAATAAATAAAAATTCAAAGGAGATTAAGTAGCATTTGGTCAAAGAGAGAATCTTTGTATAAGAGAATAGAAAGGCTACTTAGAAACTATCAATAGACTGCAAAAAAACATTATTTGGGTTTGTTCAGAACTAAGATAAATGCACCAAAACCTTCATAGTGGTCCCTCTAGCCACACAGGCCATTCTTGGACTGTGTGAAGGCCAGTTGTCAGACCCCAAAAGAACAACTGTTGTGACTCAAGTAGTCTAGACTATATATGCCCCCTTTTTGAAAAAAACAAACTCTTTTCTTCTTTCTTTTTATATCTGTCCTGCTTATGACTTTAGTCAGACATGGTACCTAAAGGTGTCCACTGGCACTACTAAGCTCTAAGAGATAAAAGGGTAAGGGACAGTCAAGGCTCTATGTAAAAGCCCCAGTAGGGCCCAAGTATTTGGTGACAGAAAGTTGCCTTACAATTATAGGGTTGACACTGGTGCACAGAGATAATTAACAGTTGATGACCTAATGTGTGCTTTACATACATTATATATTTTAATCTTCACATCATCTTGCAAGGTCAGAAAACTGATTGAGAAACGTTGGGGAAAAGATGTCCAAGGTCTTAAAGCTAGTATGTGGTGGCCCATGGAATTTAATAGTTATGACAAGGGGAATTTGTTCGAGGGTTTACTTGCGCCAAGAGCTTTACATGAATTAACCCAATCTTCATTGTAACTCTGTGAGTTAGGTACTGTTATCCCCCGTTTTACAGATGAGGCCCAGAAAGAAACGTAGATGATACAACTAAACTAGTAAACTAGGTAAAACAAAGATCGGTAGTCCAATTCCACAACGTTCTTAATCACTACATCACACTGGATTTGAACACAGATCTACGTGTAAAACTCATGCACTTTCTCCTACCCTGCACGTAGCTGGTAAAAATAACTGTCATCCATAAATTAGTCCAATTCTACTCAGGGACGTTGTACCTCTCAGGCAGAGCTAAGGGGGGCTCTGGCAAAGTCCGCAGCTGTTAAAGCCACCGCATTCCCAGGCCACTGGAGAAGCCCGGCTCCCTGGGGCTGAGGGGCCAGGAGAGGGAGGAGGAACAGGGCCTGCAGTCCAAAACCCAATCTCCGTTCGGAGGCCTTCAGACGCCAGGAGCAGCCCCCGGGGTCAAAGCCTGGAAAGTCGCAGGTGGGTTCCGACGTGAATGCCCAGCATATTCAAATCTACAGTTTCCAACCACTGAACTGCGGGCGCCGCTATACAAAACGTTCCCCTCGGCTCCTCAACCCCAGCCCCTGGAAACCTGCTCCCCTGCTCCTGCCCCGCACGGGCCCAGGCAGGGAACGACCCTTGACCGGACACCCACAGTCCACACCCGCAGCGCGGCCCCTCCCGGGGGCACGCTCGGGCCGCCGGCCCCACACACCAGGCCTCTGCGCGCAGGGAACGAGGAAGGAGGTGTTGATTCTGTTCCTATGGCAACCGCGCAGCTCGCCGCGGCGCGCTTCCGGGCCAGCGAGCGACGCGCTCCAATGACGTCACGGGGCCACTTTCCGGCCGGTGGCTGAGTCGGGCTCAAGTTGTGGGGCCCGGGGGCGCCATGGGGGCCACTGGCGACGCCGAGCAGCCGCGGGGACCCGGCGGGGCCGAGCGGGGCGGCCCGGAGCTGGGGGACGCGGGCGCAGCGGGGCAGCTGGTTCTCACGGTGAGGACGCCCCCGGGGAGGCGGGGGCCTGGCCTGGGCTCGGGCCGACTGGGCCTCGGGCTCCCGGGACCCTGGCCCGCGGGCGAGAGAACGCGCTGCTGGTGCTGCCGAGGGGTTGGCGTTTCGCCGTCCGTCGACCTGGATTCAAATTCTGGTGCCGCCCTCCTGGCTAGGTGACTTGGGCCAGTGCTGTCAGCCCCCTCGGGCGCCGGTTTCCTCTTGGATAAAATGGAGACGAGTAGTTCCCGCCACGTAAAGTTTGTTGTGGGGGTGCGCTGTGAATGTGGGGAAAACGCCCGGCACATCCCCTGCCACGAAACAGGCTCTCGGCAATCGCTGGTTCTCTTCCCCCTGCAGTGCCAGAAAGGGTGGGGCTGGGACTTCAGAGGCAGGAAACTTCCCCAGTTCTTCCTCCCTGCCAGAGCCTCCCGACCACTGCCCTCCCGGCTGCCCCAAGGTGGGAGAGGGGGTGAACGCCCCTGAGAAACCTGAAAGTCTAGGCAGTCGCATACCCACCCACCCGCCACCCCAGCGTCACCAGCCTCGGTCTCCCTTGGTCTCCACAGAACCCTTGGAATATAATGATAAAGCACCGGCAGGTGCAGCGAAGGGGCCGCCGCTCTCAGATGACAACAAGGTAAGGCTGCCTCTGGCTGGAACGTCCCTCCTGCCCTGACTTGGATCCGCTTGGGGGTCCCCACTGCACTGAACTAGGAAGGAGGCAACTCAGATTCTGTAATTCTGTGTGTGGCCTTGATAAGTACCCCCTCTGAAGTCATGAACAAAATGCATGGTGGGGTGGATTAAAGTGCCCAAGATCCCTAACACTCACTGACGCTGTGGTTGAGGACTCTAATGAGGCAGAAAAGCATGGAGGTTAAGGAAAAAGCTGGGCTTATAGTATCAGTCTCAGGGAAAATGCATCTCAGGGAGAGAACATAAGATGGGCCTTTGGGATGCTGATTATACTTCTTGACCTGGCAGTGATTAAACCAGTGTTCACTACAAATGCTTGCGAAAGTGCATAGACGTTTCTGTAAAAGTATTATAGTCCATAATACACTTTCACAATGGCACCCATTTCATACAATTGTTAGGAGAATGATGTGCACAGAACCCCGGCATTTAACTAGTTTTCAGTAGAACGCTATTCTTTTCGTAAAGGAGCCTATGTGAGTAACTAGTGGACAGAAGAGGCAAGGATATGTTTGGAACATGCCGCCTAATTGTCTCCCTCCTTTGTGCAGTTTCACAGATCCTGCCATCTCCATGGACCTCCTCCGAGCTGTCCTGCAGCCCAGCATCAATGAGGAGATCCAAACAGTCTTCAATAAGTACATGAAGGTGAGAGGGGCGCAGGAGAAGGGACACAGGGCAAAAGACTCATGGGCAGCCCTCTCCTGCATCACCATCTCATTGCCTCTTTCTGGATATTTAAAGTTTTCCAATTCTGAACCCCTGAGAATTTTTTTCCCCCCTCTCAAGAAATGTTCAGATTATACCCAACTGAGCTCTAGCCAAGCTACTGTGAGGATAAAATGATTTACGTGTAATGCTCCCAGCACAGTGCTTGGAACGTAATGTGTTTTATTACTTGTTTAATAATATCACCGTTATTGTAATTTAAAATTCTTTTATAGGCCTATAAATAACTTCTACATGTCTCTACCTGAATGTCCCATGGATGCTTTAAACCTAGTACATTCAGAACTGAATTCGTTTTTCTTCCTAAACCTCCTCTGTGTTTATCCATTCATTCAAGAAGTATTTACTGAACACTGAACATATGGCCATATTCTAGGCATGGGGGCAGGAGGGGCATGTCTCAGTGAACAAAACAATGTCCTGTTCTCCTTAAACAGGTATGCTATTAGGAAGTGCCAGGGAGAAGGGGCAGCAAGTGACCAGTGAAGAAGAGAGGTGTTACTTCATAGATTGTAGATAGGACAACCCTTCAATATGAGGACAGTTGAACAGAGATCCAAAACCGAGAGGGAAGAACAAGCTGGGAGGAGGTGTCTAGACAAAGGGAACAGGGGCAGAGAGCCTGAGGCAGAGCACAGACTGAGCCTGAGCACAGCACAGTCAAAGCAACACATTGCCAATGTTGCTGGAGCATTCTGAGCAGGAGGGGAGGTGATCAGAGGTAACAGGTGCCCAGCTTCTGTGGCACCTTTGAAGCCATGGTAAGTACTTTGGGTTTTATTATGAGTAAAATAGAAGCTTTGGGAGAGTTTGATCAGACATCTCTAAAGGGTCACTAGGACTGTTGTAGAGAGAATAGACTTCAGGAGGACCATTTAGGAAGCTTGTAAGGAGAGTGGCTTAGATGTTGGGAAAAAGTCCTTTGTCGTATCTCTCCCTAGTTCTTCCAAAAGGCAGCACTGAACGTGCGAGACAACATCGGGGAAGAAGTGGATGCAGAGCAGCTCATTCAAGAGGCCTGTCGGAGCTGCCTGGAGCAGGTGAGAACAAAAAGGAAAAGTAATATAGGGACAAGGGATCTTTTAGCCCTCCAGTGACTCCAATAAGCAATGTATCCCATATCAGTAGTATTTGGGGAAATGCCTGGCAGGTCATGTATTTGCAGATAGGGCTTGGAGCTTCTGCTGACAGAAGTGCCAGGTACTGTGATAGGTACCTTCAAGAGCATTAGTTCATGTGTCTATCAGGAGACCCCCCCTGTACGGAAGGTGTGTTTTAATTCCAAGTTTGCAGATGAAGAAATCATGGCATAGAACAAGCAAGAGTTAGAATAGCTAAAGATCTGTCTCACCTCTGCAAGTATGTGGTGATTTAATCCTGCAGGCAGCGCCTTTGGTGTCACGGGGTCCATGCCCCTTTCAGCCTTCCTGGCTTTCAAAGTGTGGTCACGACTTCAGGTCTATAAATGGCTGTGTTCCCAACATAGTAGTGCAACTGCTTTCCTATATCAACTGCTGTTATGAATAGGAATTACAGCAATCCCAGATTTTGCACTTGACTAAAATTGAACTTTTATCTGTCAGAGATGGAGCTTTCTTTATAAACAGAGCCAGGAAGTCTAGTGTGCATTCAGTCCTATGAGAGTAATTATTGTGAGATGAGAGAATAACATCTTCTGGAGGTTTGCCTAACTAGCTTCTCAGGCACAGCCTCAAAAAGGAGCAAGAACAGGGCCTGTAGTTCAGCTTTGAAAGGGCAGAAGTCCATCCTGTCAGTGCCGTGAAGCTGATCTGATTCTCATAGACTACTAAACTTAAGTCTAACCGAATTCATAAGAGGCCAGTTCAATACCCTGGGACTACAGCATGCTATAATCACTTGTAATACTTGCTGGTTAATAAAACGCACTTACTGATAATATTCTTATAAGTTTGAAGTGAATCATGATTAAACTTAATGAGTTAAGTTTAATCATGATTCATTTTATCTCTTAAACCAATGTGTAGTGAGGACCTACTCTGTGCCCAGTACTGTGCTAGGTCCAACAATTTTATGCCAAATGGGCAGAGGCCTTACCTCCAGAGCCCTTGACATTTCTCTAGCGGTCATACAATAATAGGCTTTACAGCCGGTGGTTAAGTGCTCTAAGCCGCAGAGGTGGTGCCTGTCCACTAGAGGGCGCAGTGTCCTGGGCACAAGTGAGCCCTATATGTCTAAGGGGCAGAAAAGAGCCAGCATTTTCTGGTTGTTTTGGTTTACAGAAGTCAGAGAGGTGGGCAGAGGCCAAGTCAAGCAGAGCACAAATTACAGGTGGTCGTTACAAGCAAGACAGCCTAATGAGATTGGCACTAGAAAGGATCATTCTGGTTGCCACAAGGAGTCTGGTTTGGGAGGTAATTTATGGAACTGTTTAGGGTCCCAACTAGAAGATAAAGAGGAAGTTAAAATGAGTCAGGCATAACTTGCACTCCATGAATAATTTGTTCCAGTCTCCTGAGGACTCCTGTCCCCCTTCCCAGTATTGCTGTAACTGGGAGGAAAGCCAGCATTTGGATCAGTAACCAAGACTCGGTAATAAAGACCGCTTGCTGCTGGTAAAATTTAAAAAGATAAAGTATAAGGCGGGAAATTTCATTTTCTCATAACCTCACTACAGCAATAACTGCTGTTAACATTTTGATGTGTTTTCTTGCAGTCTTTTCCCTAAGTTTTTACACACACCTGTTCACTCCCTAGGGCACCAGGAATACAGTAGGGAGCAAAGACCAGCCTTGAGCCCACAGGCCCTTCCGCTGCCGCACGATTTCTCTGTTCCCTTTACAGCCAGACTCTGGGGAAGGTTTCAGTCACTGACTCCACTTTGTCACTGCCCATTCATTCTTTCACTCCTTTGTCTTGACCACCACTTCACGGGAACCCCTCATATATATTAGAGTCCCCATAAACCGCTGTGTGTTCAGCCCTGGCGCCCTCACTGCTCAGTATACTCGGCTGCCCAGGGCATTGGTCACAGTGGGCCGGTCCGTGTTTCTTGGCTTCCCGCTCTCGGCTCCACAGCCTCCGCCGCTGGTGCGTCCTCTCTGTGGACTCCTCCTCTTCTGTGGCTCCTCCTCATTCTTGGTGATTTCATCTAGTCCTGTGACATGGAAGCCGGTTTAACTGCTGATGACGCCAAATGGTAACTTGGCCCTGAGCTGCTTCCACTCCTGCCTACCTCCAGTCCTTTCTCTCAGCAGCCAGACTAGTCCTCTTAGAGGAGAATCAGATTGTAGTGCTGTCCTCTTTAAAACCCGCAGTGACTTCCCATTGTTGTTTGCCTGGACCAGTTGTTGCTTTAACTTCAGCTCCACCTCGCTCTTGTTGACTGTATTCCAGTCGTACTGGGCTCCTTTCTGCTTCTCCAGCACATCAGGCTAAGAGCCTTTGCACTAGCTGCCCGCCCTGGCTCTTCTCTTCTTCAGAACTTAGCTTAAGTATCACCTCATCAGAGAGGTCTTCCCTGTCACTCCATCTATAGTGTCACCCCTCCCAGCGCACTCCCTCCCCTAGTTACTCTCTTATCACCTCACTTATTTCCCCCATTTATTTCAATCTGAAACCACTAATAGTTCATATTCTTATTTTCTGCCTCCCACCCATCTCTGCTAAACTCTTAAGCTTTATAAGCCTGAAGGCCTGATCTTGTTCACCACTGTAGCCCCACAGAATATGACTCTTGATATGTGTATACTGATTGAGCTTAATGAAGAAATGACTGTGTGAATGAACAAACGAATAAAGAAATGGCAGATGAACAAGCAGGACTCTTGCTATCATGGAACTTACAGCCTAGTTAGGCAGACAGGCATAAAAGAAGTTGCCAGACCAACGTGTGCACAATCACTGAGACTTGTGCGCCCTGCCCTGGATGGGGGCAGTTTGGAGGAGAAGATCATGAGTTCAATTTTGGATCTGGCAGATTTGAGACATCCATGCATAGACATGGGGCAGGCTATGTAAATCTGGAGCTCAGAAAAGGCTATAACTGAAGATGGAAACCATGGAGTTAGCAGTTTATACATGTTAATTGCCGCTATGAGCACAGATGAAAGCAGAAGAGATATCTAAGGGAAGGACAGAATGAAAAGATTGAGGAGTATGAGCTGGCAAAGAAAGTTACAAAAGAGTGGCCAGAGAAATAGGGGTGAATGGAGAAAAGTGTGGTCACAGGAGCCAATATGGAGATTGTTTTTCGAAGCAGGAGTGCAAGGAGTTGTCAAAGGGTGGGGTGACCTGCACCCAACTCTTCACATGACCTACAAGGCCCCTGCCAACCTCACCATGCTTCTCGCTACCACTCTTTTTTTTTTTTTTTTTTTTTTGGTAAAGATTTATTTATGTATACAAGAACTGGGGTACAGGCCAGAGGTGTGGGAGGTGAGAGGATTCACCAGAAACAGAGGGGGGAACAGAACAGGCAGATTGACTGAAATACACTGCTGAGGGGAGCAGCGGGCGAGTCAGGAAAGTTCTGCTGCACCATGTGGGTATCTCCCTGGCCAGGGATCGAACTCTTGCTGCAGTGGCTGCAGATAACTTCATAGGTTGCATCTTAACCCCCTGCGCCACCAGGAAGGCCCTCCTCACTACTACTCTTTTACCCGCTATTTGTCAGGCCATCTTTTTCTTCTTCAAGCCAAGTCTTCCCACTTCAGAGCTTTTGCCTCCTCTCAGCTGCTGAAACACACTCCTCCTTGGCTTGCCTGTCACTGGCTCCTGCACATCTCAGCTCAAAGGCTGCCATCCCTGCAAGGCTTTTCCTCACCTCTGACTAAAGTAGCCCTCCCTTCTGGTGATGCTCACTTCTGCCTGGGTTTTGTCAGAGCACAATCCCAAACCACCTCGTTTGTGTGTTTATTTCTTTTTTTCACAGCTTGCCCATAGAGATCAAGTTCCAAGAGAGCAAGGACACCTTGCTTGTGCAACTTACTGCTGTGACCCCAGTACTTCCATACTAGATACCAATATGTGTAAAATGTAAAGCAGCAGCTTGCTGAGCAGTGTGTCTTCTATTAATGCATCTCGTTAGAAAAAATATATAGCATGTGTTTACATGGGGAAAGGCAGTGAAGAATGTACATTGGCATATTAGCAGTGTTAGGTACCAAGACTTCAGATTTGTGGGAATTCAGGGGCTTTTTTGCTTATTCACACTTTGATTTTTCAACAATGATCATTAGTTACTTGTTTTTAAAAAACTAGATGTCTATTTATATGCACACCTTGTGGTACGTTTGTCTGATCACAAAAAAGTTTGAGTCCAGTTGGAGTAGAGGCTTAACCACCAAAAATATTAGCTGTTAACACTTGTTTGTTGTCTCTTTAGGCTAAACTACTGTTTTCTGATGGAGAAAAAGTGATTCCTAGATTGACCCATGAGCTTCCAGGGATAAAGGTTAGCGCCACTGCATCCTGGGGACGGGAAGGGGAAACTAGTTAGTCTGAGAGGTGGGCACAGTGTGTAGGCCCGGGGAGGTTCCATGTACCTCTCATTTGTAGGACCGGGACCAGATGGCATCATGCAGGGAGAACATCAAGGCCCGGTTCATGGAGGGGCTGGGGGGGCGGTAGCCCAGGAACTCTGCCTTCCGCAGCCCTGTCCTCCCAAGTGCTGGTGTGCCCCTGACTCCCTCTCCTTCTCCTCCAGCGTGGCCGGCAGGCAGAGGAGGAATGTGCCCATCGAGGGAGCCCCGTCCCCAAAAAGGTAAACCATCTCCACAGTTCCTGGCTAGGAAAAGGCCCGTCAGCTCAGATGGTGCTGGGCTTCCTCGATGTACCTTTGGGCCTTTGTAGGCCTGAGCAAGAAGAGCCCTGGAATCAGTCACTCCCTGCTCATATTCAAGTATCATTTGGTCTCTTTGGAAAACATCTTCACCAGATGACCCTAGACCTGCCAATGGGGTTGGATGGGGTTTCCCACAAGGTCAGGCTCCTGACAGCTATTCTTTGTCACAGAGGAAGGGACGGCCTCCTGGACACATCCTGTCAAATGACCGGACAGCCGCCAGCATGGTGTGAGTGGGGGTCAGCAGAGCTGAAGGGAGGCATGGGAGAGGGCACCTGCAGGGAGAGAGGCTAGAGTTCTGTGTTTGGGGAAAGTCACCGTGGAGGAGGGTCCCCTAGTTCAAAAGGTGAAAAAGAAGATAGCAAGGAGGTTATTGATCCCAGGTTTGCCCCAGAACAGTTCAGCCCTGCTTGATTAAACACCGGAGGGTTTTTGTTAGTATATATTGAATGCTTATAATGTGCCATAATTAATCTAAACACCTTACATACTTTCCCTTTTAATCCTGAGAGCCACCCTCTGATGAAGATTGAAATCATTCTGCAGATAAATACATGGGGCATGCAGCTATTAAGGGGAAAAACTGCTGTATCGCCTCTAGGGTGGTCATTTTCAAAGATTTTTTGAAACAACAGATTTTTTTCCCCCCAAATAAAACTTTACATGGAAGCCCAATACACAAAGCAGATAAAGCCACACTTGTCTATTAAGAGGGCTGGGGCTAGTTTGGAACCATCAACTTAGGAAATGGAATCATATTAGTCAACATACCTTAGACTTGTCCCCTGCCCCGAGCAATTGCATTCCTCACAGACACACAGAAGGCAGGGCCGTTGCCACTGCTGCTTTTGGCAGATGAGGAAATGGCAGCTCAGGTTCCTGACTTGCCCTCTAGGCCAGGTAATTCCCCAGCCAGTCTGGGAACTTCCAGCCCAGTGCTGCTTTCCTCCGTACCCACTCCGACCCCTCCGACGGGTGCTAGGAGGACGTACGCCCAGGGTTGAAGGAAAAAGTAAGAGGAATGGCCACCAGCAGCAGTAGGCTTGCGTCTAGTCCTAGACCTCACCTGGAGGAATTCACCTTTCTTTTCTTCCAATCAGATGGAAACCAAAATCCTGTGAACCAATTCGCCGAGAAGGCCCTAAGGTACGATGTCGTGAGTGTGGCAGTGACTCCTGTCCCAGGGAGACTCAGTCAAGGCTCTGGGGTACACTGTGAGGGATAGGCCCAGGGATGGTGAAGGAGGCGTGCTCACCATCCAAAACTGTCTACCCTCTCTTCTCCCCTCCCACACTGGCCTCCCTGAAGGATCCCAAGGAGCAATTGGAAGTGAGGCAAAACAAAAAGACAGGGCTTGAGTCTATGCTGAAGTCTTGCCCCCTGTAAAAGCTGGTGGTCATAAATACTTCATCAGCACTTAATATGTGACAAGCACTGCCCTAAATCTTTTGTGTGGTTTGTCCCATTTACTCTTTTTAACAACCTTATGAGATTCTGTTACCCTTCTATAGTTAAGAGCTTCCTTTCTTGCCAGCTCCCTTGGGGGCAGAAATTATTTTGTTATCTTGTATGCTTTGTATACTTAGGGATACTAAGGCTTAAACTTGCCTAGTTATACAGGTGTATCTTACCCCATCTCATCATGATATAATCATCTGTACATACTCCACAGCCCCCTGGAGAAAAGACACCACCTTATCTCTGTAGCCGTCGGAGCTAGGGCAGGCCTAGCAAATTACAATGTCTGTTTCTTTAATAATAGGGTGGTGGTAGGAGAGGGCAGGGGGAGGAGTGTTTCTGTCCTGCCCACCAGGTTAGACCTCACCTTCATCAGCCTCCTCCTTTGCACAGTGGGATCCAGCTCGGCTGAACGAATCTACTACCTTTGTATTGGGATCAAGAGCCAACAAGTAAGTCTAGGAGCTCTGGCTCTGAGGGGAGGGGAAGCTCCTGGCTCCACCATGAGGACTGCAGCTGCTAGAATCCTTACCACTCATATGTTACTTTTCAGGGCCCTGGGGATGGGGGGCACCAGAGGGAGAATCTACATCAAGCACCCACACCTCTTTAAGGTAGGTGAGTGCTCGAGTCAGGTTGGAAGCAGATGGCATTGGGAACTCTAGAAGGCACAGGGAGGGGGGGGACAGATGTGGATCTGGGGTTTAGCCACCCTTCTGCCATTAACCTTTACCTTTTGTAGTAAATATCTCTGTGCCTCAATAATAATTAGTTTCCTTGAATATTTATTATATACCAAACATTACAAAAAAGCTGTACTTACATTATTGCATGGAACTATCCTCTAAGATAGGGATTGAGAAAGACCAAGTGACTTGCTCAAAGTCCCTCAACTTGCAAGCAGCAAATCCTGTCTGTCTGCAGCCTGAGCTCCTAACCACTGCCTCATAAAGTTGTCTGTAGAAGAGACTGGAGCAAGGCAGTGCTTCTGATCCTTTTCAAAGATGCGCTTCTCTTCCAAGGGCAACCGTGCCTTGGTCTCCACTGTCGGAGAAAACCAGGGTGGGGAGTCATGAGTTCACTAGCCCTCATCAATGAATTTGGACTTACTCAGTCAGAAAAGCATCCGGATAATTAGAAAAGTGGTAGTGCACATGTGTTTACAACAGGTTTTGTTGCACTCACATAAGGCCTGGTGCCCCTTGTCAGATATCAGCTTCTTTGGGGTCTCAGAATCATGGTCTGTCTGCTACATTCTGTGTTGAAGGACACAGCTGCTTCCTCTATATCCTGGAATTCCCGACACAGACAAGTTGGACCACTTGCTACTTCTTCATTTTTCTCTCTCAGTAGCTTTACTCCTGCTCTCCCCTAGATGACCTTCCTTCCCAACCCTTATCTGACTAATTAGGATCCATCTTCTCCAAGATTCTTGCTGGCATGGCTCTTGCACCTACTTTGAATTCAAGTCAGAGTATGGTTTCAGTCCTGGTTCTGTTATTAGCTGTGTGACCCTGGGCAGGTGGCTCCACATTTCTGCACCAGTTTCATGTGTCCAGACTCTCATGCTGGACAGACCCAAGATAGCATGCGGGAACGCAGGCAGCTCGTTGCGGGCACTGGTCATTCTCGCCCGCACTCTCCCAGCTCTCAGACTCCCATTTGCAATATATTCTCACCCTCATTTCATTACCAGTGGATGTTCTCTCGCATTGTAGTCTCTCTGTCTAACAAGCGGAGAACCTATTTGTATTTCTGTAAACTGCCTATTATGTATTTTGCCCATTTTCTGTCCTTCAAAAGGCATTCAAATTTTTCTTTTTTTACTCTTTTCAATTATAGAATACATAAGCCCATTTTTGTAAAAAGAGTCAAACAATACACAGAAGCTAAAAAACAATAAAGCGGGCCACCCCGGTGGCACAGCGGGTTGAGCGCAGCACTGTGAAGCTATCTACAGCCTCTGCAGCACGGGTTCGATTCCCGGCCAGCCAGGGAGATTCCCACATGGCACGGCAGACCTCTCCTGTCACACCCGCTGCTCCCCTCAGCAGTGTATTTCGTTAGTCTGCCTGTTCTGTTCCCCGCTCTGTCTCTGGTGAATCCCTCACCCTCCTGCACGTCTGCCCTGTGCCCCGGTTCTTATATAAATAAATAAATCTATAAATAAATAAATCCTTGAAAAGAAAAGATTTATTTATACAAGAGCCGGGGTACAGTCCAGATGTGCAGGGGGTGAGAGGGTTCACCAGAGACAGAGCGGGGAACAGAATAGGCAGACTGACGAAATACACTGCTGAGGGGAGCAGCAGGCGAGACAGGAGAGGTCTGCTCGCCATGTGGGTTGCTCCGAGGCCGGCAGGGGGAACCAAACCAGCACTGCAGAGGCTGCGGACAGCTTCACAGCACTGCGCTCAACCACATGCACCACCAGGGAGGCCCTCCATTTTATTTTTAACAAGTAGATAGAATTCATACATGTTCCATGATTTATTTCTTCATTCCTCCATTAATGCATATTTAAGTCTCTTCCAGCAGTTACACTATTATAACCAGTGCCGCCCCAAACATCTTAAAGATGGGGGGCGGGGGTGATTCCAAAAGATAAATCCCTGGAAGTGGGATTGCTGGGTCAGAAAGTATACTTTTTAGGGCCTCTCCTGGTGGCGCAGGTGGTTGAGCACCGCGCTGTGAAGCTGTCCACAGCCTCTACAATGCCAGTTCGATGCCAGCCGGCCGGCGAGGGTCCCACATGGCAGGGTAGATCTCTCCTGTCTCACCCGCTGCTCTCCCCAGCAGTGTATTTCATCACTCTGCCTGTTCTGTTCCCCACTCTGTCTCTGGTGAATCCTCTCACCCTCCCGCACATCTGACCTGTACCCCAGTTCTTGTATAAAATAAATAAATAATCTTTTAAAAAGAAAAGTTACTTTTTAAATTTCAACTCATAATTAATATGGCTTGGAGAGTAAAATAATTACTTAAACTCAAAGGATAATAACCAGACAAATTCCCCAACTCGGTCTCAAATATATTTCAAATGTTCTGCTACTTTACAAAACCTACCCTTCTTGTGTCAAGTGCTGTATTTAGCACTTTTTATGCATTATCTCTTTTGTAAATCAGAACTTTAATAGGAAAAAGTCTGCTGGCTTTATACCCATGAAGTAATCAACATTAAATAAAAATGTTTTCAAAGAGGAAAAAAATGTTTTGGTATAAATGTATTAACTTTAGACACTAGAGCTCAGTCAGAAAAACATTCTGAACAAAACTACATTGTGAGCTTTTGTTTTCTTTGGTCAAAATTTAAATCATTTAATGTTAAATAATTTTTAGTATCTGCTGTTTTCTCCCATATACAGCACATAGGGCTCTTATTTTATCATTTATTTTGAGCTAACACTGGTTCCTAGCATTATTTAAGTTCCAAGTGTACAGCATTAGAATCCAGCATCTGGAGAGAGTCATGGCACCACCAAAAGTCTAGTTCCACTGCCACACACTTGACCCATTACCCGTTTCACCCGTTTGCCAGCACCCTTCCCCGCTGGTAACCACCTGTTCTTTTAAGTTTGATTTTGTTTTCTTTGTTCATTTGCTTTGTCTTCCACTAAAATCTCTTGGAATTTGTCTTTCTCTGTCTGACCTATTTCACTTAGCATAAACCTCTAGGCCTATCCATCCTGTAACAATGGCAAGCTTTCATCTTTTTTAATTGCTGGATAGTATTCCACTGTGTATATATAACACATCTTCTCTATCCTTTCAGCCACTGGTAGGCATTTAAACTGTTTCCATATCTTGGCTCTTGTAAATAATGCTGCCGTGAACATGGAGGTGCACATATCTGTTCAAATTAGTATTTCTGTGTTCCTCAGATAGAAACCCAGAAGTGCAGGAACCCCATACTGTGTTCCCTAGCAGTTGGGTCACTTTGCATTCCTACCAGCTGTCCCCAAGGGCTACCTTCTCTCATCCTCACCGAGACTTACTGTTTGTCTTCTTGATATAAGCCATTCTAACAGGTGTGATGTGAGATCTCACTGTGGCTTTGATTCACATTTCCACACTAAGTGATAAACATCTTTGCGTAAACATCTTTGGACAGCTATGTCATCTCTGGAAAAATACTCAGATCCTCTGCCCATTTTTTAATCATGTTTGGGATTTTGTTGCTGAGTTGTTTAATACACTTTGGGTGTTAACTCCTTGTCTGTTATCTCATTTGTTCTTCACAACATAGTATTAACACTGTTTTATCAAGGAAACGATTGCCCAGGTTTATACCATCTAATAAGTGGCAGAAACCAGAATTTAAAGCTTGTTTGTCTAACTCTAAAAGCAGGTTTTTAACCCTGATGCTATACTACTGCCCCAGAACATGGTTTCCTGCTTTTTGTTCTAAAAAATATGGTCACCCTAATAGTCACATGTGTTAGAAGATCTTCGGATCTTTTTTAAAAAAGGACTGTTGCTCTAATAGTCCCCAGGCCTATCATTCGCCAGAGATACTGTGCTTTGAGAAAGGAAGGAGGTGGAGGTTAGAGGTGTACTAATCCCTGGCAACTGGGCCCCACACTGCAGCCTCCTGGGCTCTGCTCCGCTTGCTCTGAAGAGGGTAGTGAGCCCTCTGAGTCTGCCAGCCTAGGAGAAGGTCTTTTTGGTTAAAAACTGCTCAAGGGCCAAGATGCTTTAGGACAAAATGAGAAAAACCCCTGGCTAACGTCTCTCCATGTGACTTCATCCCTCACAGTATGCTGCTGACCCCCAGGACAAGCACTGGCTGGCCGAGCAGCATCACATGAGGGCAACGGGGGGAAAGATGGTAAGCATTGCCCACACGTGCCACTGCCTAGTGACCAGGGTTCTGGCTATTGGCAGCAGCTTAACTCCAAAACCAGGAGTTAAGAGAGGAGAGAAAGGGCCCATTTGCGCTGAAGGGTATATGTAACCCCTGGATTCCCTTTTCTGTCCCCAGGTCTTCCACACTCAGCCCCTTACCGTCCCACCTCATAGCCGTTTAGAGTAGATTGGCTATGCATAAAAATGGCAGGTCCAGACACACTACTTTCCCGTCATATGCCTATTGACAGATTTCGCTCATCGAACACAACTCTTCTGTCTGACACAGCGATAAGATTATTCTCCAGGCAGCACCCCTTGTCCATAGGAGTTAGCACATGCAGGGAAACTTGTTTGTCATACCTGGCAGCCCCTTCCAGAATTGCCTCTACTTCACGAGTTCTCAGCTCATCAAGCAACAGCCGTAGCAGTGTCATCATCACATGTATCCGCAACCATCATGTAGGGCTTTGTCCATCACTTGTGGTGTTGTCTACCTGAGGACTCACTTAGCCCACCCCAGGACTGCTCCTGGTAGACGCCGATGGCCTTGTCGACCAGTGTGCCTTCTCATTCTAGCAACGAAAGCTATCTTGTTTTAATATTCTATTTATGCCTACACTCTTATTTCAAAAAAGATTTCAGGGAACTTACCGTTGATACATAAAATGCAACATCACAGAAATAAGAAATGGGATGGAGAGGAAGAGAAGGTCTTAAATAAAGCCATTGGCAAGAGTAGCTTTTTTTAAGGTGTTTTTTATTTTTTAATTGCTGACTCAGGAGAGTGGTATAATTCTATTGGCTTTCACCTCCGAGCTCCTCTCAAGCACCATCTATGAAAACAGTTAAATACCCAAAGGACACGCAGTTATCCCAGCCCATGAAACTGGAAAGTGCCTCCAGCAGAAGACTCGCTCTCGTGCTGCACAGCATCCCCGTATGGTAACCAGCAGATAACCAGGCTGTCCCACTGCAGGCTGGGGCATGCTGCCAAGGCCGCTGCAGTTCCCAGGCCAGCACAACCTCCTTATTAGACAGCAAAGCAGCTCCTTGTTTTCCCATTTGCCACAAAGTTCAAAACAAAATATTCTCAGTCTCTATAAAGTTAACAAATGGCTTCTTCCTCCTGATTTCCTCTTTCCATGTATATTTTGCTAGGTCTTGCCATTTATAAGTCACCTCAGGATTTTTTTTTTTTTTTTTTTTTTATACAAGCACTGGGTACAGTCAGAAGCACGGGAGGATGAGAGAATTCACCAGAGCCAGAGCGGGGAACAGAACAGGCAGACTGACGAAATACACTGCTGAGGGGAACAGCGGGCGAGACAGGAGAAGTCTGTCGCGCCATGTGGGACCCTCGCCCGATGGCCGGGGATCGAACCGGCGCTGCAGAGGCCACGGGCAGCTTCACAGCCCAGCGCTCAACTGCTGCGCCACCAGGGGAGGCCCAGGATCGTTTTTTTTTAAAAGAGGAGGAAGCTATAAATAAATTAGTCACCCATACCCTCCCTCCCACCCATTAAGTTTCTATCTGAGTGAAAGATTGTCTCAAGAACTGTGCCCCAGACAGTTTTCCCTACTTACTTGCCCCCATGTCTAGTAGACTGTTGAGTTGGACTGAAATGAACCAGTGACAATGACCACTCCCCTTTGCTCCCACCACAGGCCTACCTCCTCATTGAAGAGGACATCCGGGACCTCGCAGCCAGTGACGACTACAGGTAAAGACAGTAGATCTGTTCAATGCTCTCCCCCTTGCTTTCCAGTAGCCCCTAGTGTGAGCCTGGACCTCACCCTTGCTTCAGCTCGCCTGCCCAATGTCTGTTTCAGAGGCTGCCTGGACCTGAAGTTAGAGGAGCTTAAGTCTTTTGTCCTACCTTCCTGGATGGTTGAGAAGATGCGAAAGTACATGGAGACACTGCGGACAGAGAATGAGCATCGTGGGGTGGAAGCCCCTCCACAGACCTGAAGCCAGGCTCCCTGGCTACACTGGCAGCCCTCCTCACGGTCCCCTTACCCACATGGCTGAGGCCACTGCTGGGACTGCGCCTAGGTAGATCGCAGCGGCATTAAGCTGTGCCTGGGCTAGTCTGAGTGGCTCACTACAGAGCACCCCCAGACTGGCATGTGATTTGTAAAGTTATTGGGATAAGAAGCAATTAAACAGTTTGTAATAAACACATGGTGAGCGTGCTGTGTGGTCTGCCTCGTGGGGGCTCACAAAACAGCAAGGGCTGTAGAAGTTGTAGGTATAGGAAAAAAGCACAAGGTACCCGGCCCCCACGCCAGGTAGACCCCTAAGTCTCACATCCCATATGGATCTTTTATACAACAAAGCTGGGAACATGGTACCTTGCTGTCCCTGCCCTCTATCATTTCTTCACCCAACTGAGGTATTACAGCAGCAGAAATTTTTTTTTTTTTTAAAAAGTGGGATGTGATAGCCCCATGGGGGTGGATGACTGGCCACAGGGAAAATGCAAATGGCTTTCACTGCCCGCATTTTACAGGCTAAAACTACGTGAGGTGGCCAAGGGCACAGCAAACCGTGTGAGGCAGAGGTTCAGGGTATGCGAAGCGGGAGATGAGCTCGTCTCGCAGGGAGCCCGCTGCGCCGTGGCCTCTGCGCCCCTCGCAGGAATGTCCAGCACTTACGGTCACACAAGGCACCCAGGGCATTGCCAGGGAGGTGCGGGGGTTTCCGTTTTGACGTCAGGCACCAGAGCCTCAAGACAGGAAACTCCCCTCCAGCAGCGGGATCCCGGCTCCAGGCGGGGCGCGGGCTGGGCCGCCGGCAGCCGCGCGTTCTTAAAAGGCTTCATCCCACGTGGACTTTTTCTTGGCCCATTTAATGTCGGCGTTATCCAAAGCCCGCCAATCCGCTACGGATTCGTTGGCTAATGGCAGCCTCCCCCGCCAATCGCCTCTCAGAAGCTGGATGCCGCAGCACCCAATAAGGGCGCGCCGGGGGTGGGCCTAACAGTTGCACGGTGACGGAGCGCTCTGGGGCGCCCCATTGGCCGGATCAAACCCAAGCGCGGCGCTGATTGGCCGGCGTTGCCGAGGGTTACAATTCAAACGCCGGCGGGCGGCCCGCTGCGCCGCAGTTGCAGCCGCGTCTCCGCGCTCGCGTCTCCTCAGGCGCCGCCGGGATGGCCTCCCAGAACCGCGACCCCGCCGCCGCCAGCGTCGCCGCCGCCCGCAAGGGAGCCGAGCCCAGCGGGGGCGCCGCCCGGGGCCCGGTGGGCAAGAGGTGAGCGGCGGGGAGCGACCCGGCCGGCCGGCGCTGGGCCGAAAGCGGAGACTTCCGGCGCCCCCGCCTTCTGGAGGGGAGTTGGGGAGACGCGCCGGGCGCTCGGCGGCGAGACTCGGGCGCTGCCGGGCCCTGCGCGGGCGGGCGGCGATGCCCAAGCGCCGGCGACCCTCGGCGGCCCGGCGGGGGCGGGGGTGGGGGCAGAGAAAGGTGAGGCGCCCCGGGAGGGAGACCCCCGAGAAGCAGTCGGGGGTTAAAACCACGCCAGCACCGTCCCGGGGGAGCCTGCGGTTAGCCGGCGTGGGAGCTCAAGACCTGCCCGTGGAAACGGGGATGCCCCCCCAGTTGCGTCTGGTCAGGGTGCGGGGAGCCTCCGTGACAGCTGCTCCCGGGAGACCGGGGTGGGTGGGGCGAGAAGCGCCACCTGGGCCCTGGCCCATCCAGAGTCCCCGGTGATCCCGAATGTTCCTTCTGCAGGCTGCAGCAGGAGCTGATGACCCTCATGGTGAGTGACCCCCCACCCAGACACCCATGCACTGGGCCCACCCGCCCACCCGCTCCTTCCCCGCCTGCTCAGGCTCCTCCAGACGCGGGTGCAGGCGGGGCAGGTAAGGCGACAACACAACTAGCTCTTTCGGGAAGACCCACCTATGTGCCACCCACCCACGCCAGTGCTTCCTGCAGTCTCTGCGCCAGCCCCGCCACAACCAGGTTATCCCCAAAATACAGTGGGCACAAGGCCTCCCCGTCCTGCGGGCCCCACGTCCCCGTCCAAAATTGGCTGCCGTGCCCAGCTTTCCTCCCTTCTTAGTGTTTCCAGTCCCGACACACCTCGAATGCTCTTCCTCAAAGACCTTTTCTCTTGTCAGCCCTTCAGACGTGGGCTCTGCGTGTATCTGTTGAATTAAGTTCCCAGCACCCAAGGAGACTGTGGGAGCAGAACTACTTGTGCTCCCCACAGAGCCCCTCGCTCCCTGCGGAGCCAGGCCTGAGCCCAGGGAGTGTTCTCTCTCCAGCTCTACCCACTTCCTCGGGAAGACCTATCAGTTTGTTTCTGTTGCTTTGTTCTCTGTCAAAATATGCTGAGTATGAGGGGAAGGTGCTCACCTGCCAACCCCCTTTGAGACCCCCCAGAGTGCTCAGTAGCCCAGCAAGTGTTGCTTACTCCCCAGATGTCCGGCGACAAAGGAATCTCCGCCTTCCCTGAATCAGACAATCTTTTCAAATGGGTGGGGACCATCCACGGAGCCGCTGGCACGGTGAGTGGAGCTGGGGCCTGAGTGACCTTGCTGAGTCTGGGGAGGGACGGGACGAAATCCAAGCACCAAGTCCACATTTAATAGGGCAGGGCGCCCGTCCTCGCTCTGAGCCTGTGGCCTTGTTCTTCCTGCACAATAAGGGGGTAGGTTTAAAGAAGGGCTCCCCATCTTAGAAGCTTGCATAGAACCAAACAGCAAGGGACAGAATGGAGGACAAGCAAGACTTTGGCCACCAGGAAGGCACAAATCTCAAAAGGATAACTTTCTACTGCCACAAATCTGGTTTTAGATAAGGAACAAATCAGATCTGTGTCCAAAGTTCCCTCGTTTTCACATGTCAGCAACTAATGTTGTAATTGGACTAAGACACACAGGAAGCCAATTGTAACACCTTGCCTTCTGTCAACCTCTAGACAAACTTGGGTCCTAACGCACCCTGACTTGGGACTTGGCTTGGGTATGAGGCTCAGTGGGGAAGCTTGCCCGCCCCCGTGTCTCCCATGCCAGGTATACGAAGACCTGAGGTATAAGCTCTCCCTGGAGTTCCCCAGCGGCTACCCGTACAACGCACCCACGGTGAAGTTCCTCACGCCCTGTTACCACCCCAACGTGGACACCCAGGGTAACATCTGCCTAGACATCCTCAAGGACAAGTGGTCTGCCCTGTATGACGTCAGGACCATCCTGCTCTCCATCCAGAGCCTGCTGGGAGGTAACTGGGGACCACCCTTTGCCTGGGCACCTGGTAAGCTCCCCCGCCAGCCTCTGCTCATTTGACCATTCTCTTTCCTTCACCCAGAACCCAACATCGACAGCCCTTTGAACACACATGCCGCCGAGCTCTGGAAAAACCCCACAGGTGGGTCCCCCTTCTCAGCCACAGTGATCCCTCCCCAGGTTTCAAAGTCTTCTCCCCAGTCTCACAGGAGGGCCACCCTGGGGGCCTGACTGGTGGGCAGTGGAGGGAGAGCTACTGTACCCGGCCCCAGCTCCCAGGCCCTTCCCACCTTTGCACCTCTGGTCAAGCTGCCCTCTCGCCTGCCTGAACTTATGCCACCACCACCCCCAAAACCTGCCCGTTCTCTTGCAGCCTTTAAGAAGTACCTGCAAGAAACCTACTCAAAGCAAGTTTCCAACCAGGACCCCTGACCGGAGCTGTCCACTCTCAGCGTGTCTCGTCTCCTCCTTAGCTGCTCTGTCCTCTCCTTGGTTTCTGTACAGGTCTCTGTATCTCAAGCTGTGGTGTCATTTCTGTTTTGTTTGTTTTTTAAATTAAGTCTCTCGTGGAACCCTTGTGATAAATATTATTAAATAAATACATTTTGGGGGGGAGTTTTGTCTTGTTTTTCTCACAAGTTGCTGCTTCGTGGTTACCTAAGTGGGGCGTGCCCGGGCTGGGACCTGGGCTCTCACCCTTTCCTCTCTCCAGGGAGTAGAAGTAGCTGATGGGGTGTAGGACCGAGCAGTGGGGTGACGAATTTGTTCCCTAGGGACCATGCTTCTTTTATGGCTCTGCCTGTTCTATGAGACGGTGTCACGGCAGTGCTTGCTTCCGCGGAGTGGTGACATGCTCGAGGGTGTCAGTGAGCAGCGGGGCCGCCCCAGCTGTGTGGCTGATGAGCCTTGTGGTGAAACAGCTATAGCTCTGGAGAGTGTGTTGGAGGGTGGGGGAGGGCACCAGGAGAGCCAGCCTCCTTTCTCTTTGGTGTTCTGACCCTGAAGAGGCAGAAGTCTCAGGTCACCCTGTGGTACGGGGCTCTGGGGAGACAGAAAGCCCTTTCCCCGCCAGAGCCCCCAGCACTGAGCTCTCCACTCACCCCTGTGCCAGGTCCCCAACGGTGGTTGCACAAGCCAACGGGGGACATTCAGCTACACTCCATCTTCACCAGCATTTCCAGCCCCTGCTGACTCAGGCCCCCAGCCACTCAAGTCATCTTTCTGATGGCCTATCCCCACCATTCTGGGGGGAGCTTTGTACTAGTCAGCAGGGGCAGGCAGGAGAGCAGGCCTATGAGCCCAGCTCCTGCCCTGCAGGAAGATCTCTGAGGTAGATGACACCCCAGGTTTGCTCCACCAGCAGCAGCTGGATGTGTGGTCCTGGGGGGAGACAAGGCCCTTCAGGAAGGTTCTCACCCACCCACCCTCTTAATCCTGTTGCCCAGGCCCCATGACTGCCCTGTGCACCACCAATCCCATACCCCGCCAAAATAGCCTTGCAGTGGCAGGGTCTGAGATGGAAATTTGGGTCTTCTCTGTTCAGTTTCCTCCCCTCTAGAACTACTCACTCTTCTTAAGGATCAGTCTGTGCTTCTCCAGCCAAAGAGCTTATGACAATCACCAGGAATCTTGCTCGGATGCAAATGCTAAGTCCTTGACCTGGGATAGGGCCTGAAGTTTTGCATTTTGAATGAGTTCCCAGGTGGTGACTTCACTCTGGTCCAGTTAAACCAAGGTGTCTCTCTAGATGTGTTCCTCCCAGCAGCCAGGTTTCACCAGGTTTCACCTGGAACTTGCTAGAAATGTACATTCTAGCCCTAACAAGCTCTCTAGGTGGCCATGCTGCTTCCTCAAATTTGAACAATCATGTTAGAGGATGTCTTGAGCAGAGCTCAGAAATGGCACTTTAAATATTTTTAACAATAGCTTGATCATGGCATTTGGTCCCCCGATGGTCACATGACCTGCCTTGTGTCCGTCACAGGAACCCAACCCTACTCTGCAGTCCAGAACCAATCAGTGTCCCCTGAAGTGAAACACTGGGAGAAAGTAAAACTGTTTAACTCAGGAGGTCGCTACAAGAGGAGGGAGTCTGGACGGAGACAGCTGCAGACAGAAGCTAATCCAGCAGAATGAGTGGCTGAGAGAGGATGTTACTTGCCCTGCAGTTCACGCCTCGCATCCTCATTTCATGAACCAACAAATCCCTTTGGGTTTAACTCAGTTTGATTCGGGGTTCTCACACTTGACAACAAAAAGAACCGAACGTGGTAAGTAAGAGACTACATGTCTAATATTCTTCCCCCTCGCTGCATCCAAGAGTTGAGTGCCTACAAGGTAAAGCCCAGTGTGTGGGGCTGGGGTGAAGTAGGGAAAAAGACACAGCCCTTTCCTCAAAGAGGTCAAAGAGCAGTGGGTAGATGGGCATGGCATAGGCAGAGCAAGTGCCACACGGGACACAGTGGTAAGAGTCAGGCCAGGCAGGCAATGCAGCTGTTAGGACCCCTCCCTCCCCTCCGCTGCAGCCCCACGTCACCTGTATGCATCCGAGCAGGCAGGCTTCACCATGCAAGATGGAAATAGTAGCTGAAGTTCTAGAACAGTGCCCATCCACCTGTTGGGAGGGCTAGGGCTGCTAGGCATAGGGCAACCTCTCAGAAAAACGCTGGGGCCTGTCATGTTGCTGTGAGAGCTCAGAGGTGGAACACTCACTAGAGACGAGGGGCAAGGAAGGCTTTCTTGGGGGGCGGATATCTGGCAATGAGGGACATACAAGAAAGCACACTCTGGATAACAAGTGGTCCAGAGGGAGGGAGGTCAGGCCAGAAAGGCCGTGTGGGGCCACATCAAAGTGTCAGGGCTTTCCATTGAGGGCAACAGGCAGCTAATAAAGACTTGAGCCAGGCAGGGATGTGAGCAGATGTGGTTTTAGAAAGAGCTCTCTGGCTGCTGTCTGGGAAGCAAAGTGGGGGGGAGGTTGGCTACTGTTATCAACATCCTGGCCGTGGTGCCCTGCACTGTGGGGCTGAGGGGGCACGGTGGGGAGGGATGAAATGGGAAAGAGAAAGCAGCAGGGCCAGCGCAGGCGGGCCCTCCCCTGCCAAGTTCCAGAATTCTTAACTTGACCCCCACCCCTCAGGGTACCATTCCAGAGCAGGGAACACAGGAGAGCAATGTGGAGGGAAGGGAGAGTCATCACTTAGTGCAGGGCCAGTAGGAAGGACTTGAGACATCCGGGTAGCACTGCCAACAGGTAGATGGTATCACAGTTAAGAGCCTCCTCGCTGCTTCTGCTTCCAGCACAGATCTCATCTAGCTTATATCTGCGTCTGTGCACTTGACCTCCTAGGCCTTCCTTTCCAAATGGACATAATAACAGCATCTGCCTAAGGCTGCGGCGATGAACGAGACCACATAAGCAAGGCCTGGGGCCCAGCACAGAGTAGGCACACAGCAGTGACCGTTACTAACCCCAGCAGCAATCCCCCCTGGAAAGACAAGCTGGGAACATGTGAATGGGATGAATTGGAAAAGAACACAGGAAGGCGCTGGAGAGGGAGGGCTGAGCGATGCATGGCAGTCGAGTTCGATATTTTGAGAATGGCCATAATCACATTAATAACGGCATGTACTGGGCCAGGCTCTGTTGAAGAACTTGGCACACACATTCCTCCCTCACCCCTGCGAGGCAGCCCCGTCTTTATCCCATCTGGTTTAATTTGTCACAGTGAGAGAATTCCAACTCTGTCAGCCAGACCCTAAAGTCCAAGAACCATGCACTTCATTAGCTTTGACCTGAGGCCTCTCCTACTAGCGCCCGGCACACAGACCTGTGGGCGCCAGGGGCAGGACCAGAGAGAAGGTGGTATGGGAGGTGGGTCAAAGAATGGGCCTCTAAGAGGAGGAAGGGCATTCCCACCAGGGCGAACAGCCTCTCAAAGGCCCCAAGGCTTGGAAGTGCACTTCCACCGTCCACAATGGAATAAATTGCCCTGTCAGGTGCACCCCGGGGAGGGGAGGGGCCGCTGTGGGCCCCCAGAAGCAGGAGGTACTCAACAGGGGAACCGCCAGCTGAGATTTCCTTTTAGAAGGTCCTGTTGATGGTCCTCTGCTGAGGGCACTGGAAGGGGTGGAAGGCAGGATCCAGAGTGGAGATGCTGAGGCCACAATCTCCTTCCAGGGGTGCGCCTCTGCCCTCCCCTGCCATCCCCTGGACCGAGCTTTTAACAGACCAAGTAGAAAGGGAGGTGCAGAAACGCGCCCCCACCCCACCCCGAGCCGGCCAGCACGCAGAAGCCCGAGCAAGACGCTCAAGACCCTAAAGCACCAGAGAGGAAGGAGGGTGCGGGGGTGAAGACGTTCCACCCTGCTCCCGGGATTGCCAGGCTCCTGCGGCGCGCCCCTTCCTCCTGCTCCGTCCCACTCAGCCCACGCCCCTGTGGCTTCGCTCTCCAGCGCCACCCCCACGCCAGCTGCAGGGCGCGGCCCTGGGAACTTGCAACACGTCCGGGGTGGCACCCTGGACAGCAGCCCAGCCCAGCGATCCCCGACATGTGCTGTCCTCTGCCCACCCCTCACTCAGGCCACTCTCTCTGCAACGTTTGCTTTTATTCCTTAGAAAGAGCATGAAGGGCCGCGGCTCCCTCCCTGGTGGGGACTGGGGCCCAGCGCGGGGCTCAGCCACCCACCCGAGGGCTGCGCGGTCTGGGTGCAGGCGGTGGCCACTGCTTACTGCACGCCCTCCATCATCTTCAGGAACTCTGTGGGGAGGGAGAGGACAGATGGTCAGGGTTGGGGACGCGGAGGCTGTGCCTGGGGCGCAGGGTCAGCGCTCTGGCCACACAAAGGGGCGCCTTGTCAATAACTGATCAATTGCACAGAACCCCGGGAGCTCCCGCGGGTCTGGGGAGCAACGTGGTCAGGCTCTGCCAAGCGGCACCCCTGAGGCTGAGCACCCCTGAGGCTAAGCGCCCCTGAGGCTAAGCACCCCTGAGGCTAAGCACCCCCAAGTGGGTGCCTGCTCCAGGGCACCACGTCCAGACACCCCACGGCCCTCACCGTCAAAGTCAATGCGACCGTCGTTGTTCTTGTCACCATCCTTCATCAGGGACTCAATCTCGTCGTCTGTCACGTGCTCCCCAGAGGCCCTGAAAATCTCAGCCAGCTCCTCGGCGTCGATGTAGCCGTCTGCGTTCCTTCAGGGTTGGAGGGCAAGGCAGGGCTCAGCGCAGGCGGGGCTGAGCTGCCCTGGCCAGGTTGGCTGCATCCTCCCCACCCCTGCACCCCAAAACCTTCGTGCCCTGCCAAAACACAGCACCTCCCTCCTCCCCCAGGTCCCCAGGCACCTGTCGAAGATGCGGAAACACTCGGCCAGCTCCTCCTCGCTCTTGCCCTTGGCGTCCTCTTTCATCTGGCGCACCATCATGACCAAGAACTCCTCGAAGTCGATGGTGCCGCTGCCTGGGGGAAGCGGGTGGCAGGTGAGCCACGCAGGGATGCCCGCCTGTCCCCCATCACCCCCTCGGGGGCTACCCCCTTACCATCCTCGTCCACTTCCTCAATGATGGCGTCCAGCTCCTCTTTGGTGGGGGTCTGGCCCAGCATCCTCATCACGGTGCCCAACTCCTTGACGCTGATGTCCCCGCCACCATCAGCGTCAAACATGTCAAAGGCGGCCTTGAACTCTGCCGGGGAAGGAGGCCAAGGGCTGAGGGAGCCTGGCTGGACCGGCTGGCTCACCTCGGCCCTCCCACCTGGCCTGGACTCCAGACATTCCCCAGACACATCCCCCACCAGCCGGCCCGCCTGCCCCACTCACCAGCGATCATCTCCTCGCTGAGGTAGGACCGGGCCTCCGCCTGCTGGTCCGTCTGCAGAAAACACAGAGAGAGGCTGGGAGGAGCAGCCCCCGAGCAGCGTGTGCAGCCTTAACTCCCTCTCCTCACCCCGCACTGCTGTAAGTGCCTTTGACCTTCTGGAAAAGCAACCCCAAACTTGCCCTTCAGCTCGTCAGCCCGGTTTTGGAGAATTCAGGAGGAAACACAGGATACCCAAGGCCTTCTTGCTTGTCACTCAGAGGCCAAGGAAGGAACCCCCTGTAACCTTGGGTGAGCCAATTAATGTCCCCTTATCTCTTCTCAGCAGCTTTTCAGCCATGGGATGAAATCAGGGGTGTGAGCGCACTTGGTAAAGCGCCAGCATCATCCCCTCAAGGGCCTCGTGCTTCAGTGGGTGCTCAACAACTCTTCTCGGATAACAGTGCAACCCAGTTTCTCAGCACCCACGAAGCGTCCGCCGTAGATGGGCGCTGGGGCCGCAGAGGAGAGCAGGCACACCTCCCTCCCCACCAAGAATTTGCAGAGATGGAGATTTGAAGCTTTCTTCTTATGATTCACTCACTGAAGTAAACGCCCCCCCATGCTGGGCAGAGGGTGGTGGGGCTTGGGAGAGTGAAAATAAGATCTCTGTGGGGGCTTCCCAGCGTGTGGAAGCTGAATCATTAGGGCAGGGTGCTCTGGACTGAGGAAGGGCTGAGGGGCCCAAGGGGCTCTTCGGCCTCTGGCTACTGCCTCTCCTCCTTGGCCCCTCTCCCCGCCACCAGGAGGGCAGGCTATTTTTAGTCTGGTGTAGGCTGTGGCAGCTGGCCTGGGGTCTAGTTACTCTGAAGTGAAATGGGAAGAGGGATTTCAAAGGAAAATGACAGCCCAGAATCCACCCCTCTCTGAGTGGCTGAGGTCTCGCTAACCCGGGCCAGTCATTTTCTGTCCCTTCTCATCACCCTTGGACTCTTGGGGTGCTGCACCTGAACTGGCTGGAAGCCTGCAGGCTCCCATCTTCCAGAGGATCCTTTTTCCTCTCCCTGTCAGTAGGAGGGTCTGGCCAGGCTCCTAGCCCACGGGTTGGCTGGGTGAGTCGCTGGCCTGCAGGGTCCCCTTCTCTGCATGAGGGAGACGAGCTAAGATCCCTTCAGCTCTATGACCTTCGTTGTGGAAGCCTCAGTTCAGCAGGGAAGCCACAAACTGGGGGGCCTGGATCATCCCGGCCCTCCCCTTCTGAGAGAAGTTCAAGGCCTTCCTCCCAGGCTTCCTTCTAAGACACCTGGGGCCCAGAAACCCTTCCTGCTCCATCTTCCAACAGCCAAGCTACTGCCAAACAGATCACCCAGATCTGGCCCAAAAGAGGCCCAGAGGCTCTCCAGCAAGCACAGAAATGAAGTCCCGTCTTGTCCTTACCATGGTTGCTGGTCACAGGGGCGCCTCTGCTGCGGGTTACTTCTTCAGCTCTCCACCGCCCAAAGCCGGCCTGGCCCACTCCAACCCCTGTGATTTGTAGGGACACCCTCTCCTCCCACCTCCCTGCTCCCCAGGACTGAATACCCTGGCCAATCACCACCTGGGGTCAGCGAGCCCCACCCCTCCCAGAGTCCTGGCCTATTACCTAATTTAGCCAAGTGCCCTTGCAGAGAAATTGAAGCCTCAGAGCAGGTGGCAGGCCTTGACGTCATAGATTCTTGGGAGGAGAACCCGCCCTGTTCCACTGCCTTAGGGAGCCCCCCCCCCGCCCGCCCGCCAGAAACACGCCAGTTCCAGGATGGGTAAGGACAATTAGAGCAGAGCAAAGTGAGGTAGCAAGTGAGCCTTGAAGTCTGAAACCCAAAGTCTAAGTTCTGAGCCTTGGCATGCTGTGTGACCTTGGGCAATGGCCATGCCACTCTGAACTTCAGTTTCCTTTTCTGAGATGAGAATGATCACAGCCTCCTCAGAGAACCTGTAGTCAATGGGTGTTAACTTCTTTGGGTGGTGCTTGGCAGATGGCATGTCCTGTCTTTAGGTCATCATGGGGGTTAGGGAGCAGGAGAAGAGGAAGCATGGCTACAGTCACAGCTCTTGACCCTCCCAGCATGCCACACTGTGCTCAGCATGTTACCCACATGATCTTATCTGCCACTCAGCCTATGAGGTAGCAACTATTATTATTCCTGTTCTGCTGGGCAGCTTTGTAAATCATAAAGGTCTACAGTTATATTGGTGATTTTATTATTAATCCTGATGAAAAGGAATTGGGGCAGATAGTTCTTGGGATCCCATTCAGGAGGAGAAATGGGGAACCAAGGGAAGTTTCTTTAGGTAGATAAAGGGCAACTGACCCCTTCTAGAGCTGGGTGAAGGCTGGAGGAGCTCAGCTGGCCCTCTAGAGACAACAGGAGTGGGAAGATCAAGTCAAGTGTAAAGTGAGCACGTGCTGAGAATCCTGGGGGTCCAGGCTGGATGTGATGAGTAGGGAGAGGAGGCAACACTCTCAGGCAGTGGTTAGGTCCAGGAAGGAGCACTGAGGCCACAGACCAGAATATCTGGGGCCAGTGAAAGGGGACCGGACACCAAGACAAGGAGATGGACAGTGGCAGCTGGGCTGCCCTCGTCCCCTATATATAGATATCCCCAAGGAAAGCTTAGCAGGCCAGGTTAAATAAAGCTTCCTCTAGCCAGGCAGAGGGCCAAGGGATGAAGACATCCTGAGGATTCCAGTTTGGACACACTCATTGGAACCGTTCTATCCTTCTGGACTAGAGAGCCTGGCACCCTCAGTAATCATTTGGGGAAATAATGTCCAAACTCAGTGTAGCCAAGCAAGTTCCCATGGATTCCAAACTCACCCCTCCCCACCTCCCCACCCTGCATGCTGCTCTGCTCTGGTCAGACTAAGCCCACTCCTCATGGCCTCCGGGCCTTTGCACATGCTGTGCTTTCTACCAGGAGCTCCCATCTTCCCTCTCTTCACCTGCCTACTTCCCTACTATCTGTCTCAGCTTCAACATCACTTCCTCCAGGATCCCTCCTCCCCGACACCCAGGCCAGCGCAGTCAGGGTGGTCTCCAGCAGTTTCCTTGACCATAGCACTGAGCATGGCACATGGTCATGGCCTGTTCTGAGTGGTACCAAGTGAACTGTCACCTGTTCATCATTGCATTCCCCAGCACTGAGCTCTGGGCACTTAGCGATAAATAAATAAACACAATAAATACCGTGTTCTTTGTAAGATCTGAACTGAATGATCTCAGAAGGAACTTCCTAACAGTCACAATTGAACAAAAATGGGAATGGGCAGCCTAGGGGGGCTGTCTCCCCATTGCCAAGCGTGCACAGGCAGGATCTGATGACTACTGCTCAGGGAAACCCAACAGAGCAGGCACATCCCACATCAGGAGAGCTCCTCCTGTTTGTACCGCCCAGGATAAACCCGTCCCTGGCTTAGCCTCAGACTACTCATTTGTGAGACGGAAGTGCTAGATCAGATTTCTGAGGGACCCTCTTGCTCTGACAACCCATGGTTTTATGAATACCTACTCTGCACCCAGATGTGTGAGACATACCCACGTGCAAGTTAATTTTCATTCAGCATCTGGTGAACGTATGGATGTTGAAGGCATGAATACAGCGTGTCTTTTTTGCCCCAATGACAGTAATCTGAATGAAGAGTAGTTAGAGCTTTAAAATAATACACATTGGCCTTAAGTTCCAGCTCCCTTGTTTCCTAGCTGCGGATTTGGGGAATGTCAATTAGTTGTTTCTTCATCTTGAAAATGGACCAGTAACAGCCTCCCCAGGATGTTGTAAGGAGCAGATGTGACCGCTGTAAAGGGCCTAGGACTGTCTTTAAGGCACAGTAAAACCTCAAGAAATGAGGGTCCTGCTTCTTCTGCACATAGGGTGGGCAGGGAACGTGCTCCCCATTCAGGGCTATTTGTCCCCACCCCTCCTGCCGGTGTATTCAAAAAGGACTTGCTGTCAGAGAGATTTTGTTTGATTGCCCCTTAGGGGCTGCCCATCGAGGGGCCGATCTCTAACCCTTCTTGACCTACTGCTGCCCTCTGACAGGAGATAAAACACAGCCCTCGGGGGAGTTGCTGAGTTGACCAGACCCGCTGGGGAGAGAACAGGATGTGGACTCTGAAGAGCTAGGCTGCAAGGCCCCACGCTCAGAAACCTCTGGCAAGCTGTGTGACTTTGGCCAAGTAACTCAGTCTCTCTGCGTCTCTGTTTCAAAGTTTGTCTACTTCTTATACGTGAGGCTAAATGAGATTGCAAATGTCTGCGAACCTACAAACTATAAGCATGCTGTAGCTGAGTATCAAGTCCTTCCCTGCTAGTGCCACGCACTGGGCTAGGGTCCTGGTGAGAGCTGCAAAATTAGCACTAGTACTAATTGCTTCCTTTTACATGGGAGAAAACCCAGGTCCAGCGAAGTCACATTTGAACCCAACTCAAGTGTCTTCTCTTTGGCCCGTTTGCTCACTGGAGAAAAGGGCTTCCTACTGTCCCCAACAACTTTGGAAAGTTAGAGTGCTAAGTGGAAACTTGGGGATAGCCTGGGGCCGGCCAGGGCCTCTGCAAGGGGTGGGAGGATTCACAGAGGCTGTGAGCCCCTTGGATTGGCAACACCAAGGATACTGCCGCCCAGGACTAGAGCTCAGTCAGGCCTGGCCACCTTCATGGTCCTAACACCCTCCAGGGTCTTGTAGGTGCTAAATTCCTGCTGGGCCCTGTAAGTGCCCAATTCCTGCTGGGTCCTGTAGGTGCCCACACCCTGCTGGGTCCAATAGGCGCTGCCTCCACACTGAGCCCTGTAGAAGCCGGCTTCCTGCTGGGTCTTATATTGCCAACTCCCTGTTGGGTTTGTAGGTGCTTGCTCCCTCCTGGGTCCTAACTCCCTCTGAGCCCTGTAGTTGCTGACACACTGAGGGGTGCTATAGGTACTGACACCCACTGGAGTTTTGTAGGGTTGGCTTCTTGCTGGGCCCTGTAGGTGCCAGCTCCCTGCTAAGTCCTGACTCCCTGCTAAGTCTTGTTGGCATCGGCTTCTTGTTGGGCCCTGGTGGGTTCTATAAGGTCCCTGCTGAGCCCTGTAGGTGCTGGCTCTCTGCTGGGTCCTGAACTTGGCTAGGCCCTGTCGATGCTTGCACCCTGCTGGGTTCTGTAGGGCTCAGCTCCCTCCTGGGCACTGTAATTGCTGGCTCCCTGATAGGCCCTATAAGGTTATGGTTCCTTGCTGGGTTGTTTAGGGTTTGGCTCCCTGCTAGGTCTTGTAGGTACTGGCTCCCTGCTGACCTCTGTAGGTGCCAGCTCTGTGCTGGGTCCTATAGGTGCTGATTCCCTGCTGAGAGTTAACGGCTCTGACTCCCTGCTGAGAGCTACAGATGCTGGATCTCTGCTGGGTTTTGTAGGTGCCGGCTGTTGCTGGGCCCTATACTCACTGGCTCCCTACTGAGCCCCAGATGTGCATGCTTCCCACTGGGCCCCATAGTTTCCAGCTCCTGCTGGGTTCTGTAGGGTTTTACACCCTGCAGGGCGCTGTAGTTGTGACTCTCTGATGAGCACTCTAATTGCCTGCTCTCTGCTGGCTCTGTAGGTGCTGGCTTCCTGCTGGGCTTTATAGGTTCCGTGTCCCTGCTGGGTTCTGTAAGGTCAGGCTCCCTGCTGGGCCATTTTAGGTGCTGGCTCCAGCTGGGCCCTATAATTACTGGCTCACTGCTGGGTTCCGTAGCTAGGCCCTGTAGGTGCAAGTCCCCTGCTGGGTCCTGACTCCCTGCTAGGTCTTGCTGGAAGTGGCTCCCTGCTGGGCCCCCTTGACACCGGCTCCCTGCTGGGTTCGGTAGGGTCCGGCTCCCGGCTGGGCCCTGTAGGAGCTGGCCCTCTGGGAGGACTGGTAGGATCTGGCTCCCAGCTGGGCCCTGTAGGAGCTTCCAGGACTGGTAGGGTCTGGCTCCCTGCTGGGCCCTGTAGGAGCTGCCAGGACTGGAAGGGTCTGGCTCCCTGCTGGGTTCGGGAGGGTCCGGGTCCCTGCTGGGCCCTGCAGGAGCTTCCAGGACTGGTAGGGTCCGGCTCCCTGCTGGGTTCGGGAGGGTCCGGGTCCCTGCTGGGCCCTGTAGGAGCTGCCAGGACTGGTAGGGTCAGGCTCCCAGCTGGGTCCGATAAGTGCGTATCCCGGATTCACTCCCGGAGCGGGCGGCCGGGATTCCCGGGCGGCTCTGGGAGCGGGCGGGGCGCGGGGCGCGGGGTGGGAGGCGGGGCGGCGACAGGAAGGGGCCGGAGCGGCGCTCGCCGCGGCTGCGGGAGGATCCCGGCCGGCCTCGGTAAGCGCCCGGCCGCACCCCCACCCCGCGCAGCGGCTCCTCGCGGGGCGCGGGGGGCGCACGCGCGCCAGGGAGCGAGCGATGCGTTGCGGGGCGCCGGCGAGAGCCAGCCCCTGAGCGGCGCGGGCGGAGCCGGCGACGCGAGCCGGGCGGGCCCCGAGGCCCGCGGACCCCCGGCGGGAGGGGCGGGGCGGGGCCCGCGCCGCGCCCCTCCCCGCGCCCGGCCCCGCCCGGGCCCCGCGGGGGCCGGGGTCCCGCCGCCGCCGCGCCCCGCCGCGCCGCGCCGCCCGGGCCGCCATGGCCTCGCGGCTGCTGCACCGGCTGCGGCACGCCCTGGCCGGCGAGGGCCCCGGGAGGCGGCCCCCGGCCCCGAGGCCGAGCCGTTCCCGGAGAGCTCGGAGCTGGAGGACGACGACGCCGAGGGCCTGTCCTCGCGCCTCAGCGGCACCCTCAGCTTCACCAGCGCCGAGGACGCGGACGCGGACGAGGACGAGGGGGCGGGCCCCGAGCCGCTGCCCGCCGAGGACGGGGCTGCGGGGGACGACGCAGGCGAGTGCGGGAGGACGGAGGCGGGATCCCCGCGGCCCCCGGGGCTCTGCCTCCCGGCCGCGCTCCCCGGAGCCTCCGAGACGCCGACGCTCCTGTGCCGTCGACCCGGGCCCCACGGCCTGGCTGTGTGACCTTGGGCGCGTCGCCGACCTCCCCGGCCGAGGCTCCGGTGCTGGTGCTGGTGCTGGTGCGCCGCGCGCAGAGCCCGGGACTCGGAGGACCGTATTTTGGGGGTGGAGATATTTTGGCGCCTGCGGTCTGCGCCTGCCAGGCAGCCGCCCCTCGCCGGCCCTCACGTTCCGTGTGTGTGGAGCGGGGAGAAAGCCCGTGTCACCTGTTAGGACGCTGAGGGAGGACGTGGCAGGTGGCTTGTCCACCCCGGCCTACTGATGACGGTCGTGTGCCCCTGCAGAACAGAGCGCCCAGCCCGAAGGACAGCGGGGCAGCCAGCTCCTGGCACGCCAGTTGCAGGATTTCTGGAAGAAGTCCCGGAATACCCTGGTACCCCAGCGGCTCCTCTTTGAGGTGACCAGTGCCAACGTGGTCAAGGACCCGCCCTCCAAGTACGTGGTGAGTGAGGGTCCAGGAACCCCTGGGCTGGGAGTCTGGGAGTCTGGCTAAGAGAAAGTAGGGAAGGCTGGAACTTCCTGGGAGGCCTGGCTGCGTGGGTATGGAGGGCTAATGCATTTCACAGGTGGGGAAACTGAAGCCAGAAAGGGGCTGTAACTTGAGCAAGTCCTCAGGCACGTGACTTCTCGGAGCCTGAGTAAAGAAGGGATTATGGAACTGCCTCCTTTCCTGGTTTTGTGACTAAGAGAACTGGTTTGTGTGTCCCTCCCTGCTCCCCACACCAGGGTTTTGCAAACTGTACAAGATGCACGGTACATGGGAAAAGATATTATCTGCAACAGACTTGAGACCCAAGTTGCACTGGTTAGTGGTTAAAAACGATGGGGTTTGGATTCAGACCAATCTTGACTGAAACCCCACTCATTACCAGTTGTTTGACCCGGCTGGGCTGCGTAGCCTTGATGACCACTTTCCTCATCCGAGCATTGGGGATAAGGCGCAGGGTCGAGCAGGAAGGAGTCAGTGCAGGCCTTGTGCTTGGCGTTATGAAGTGCTCCATAAAATGGTAGCTGTTGTTATTCTTTAATTTTGGATAGAAAACGTCTGGCATCTAGGGCCTGTTGTGTTCCCCTTACAACCCCGGGGAATCAATTCTCAAGCACCCGCCCTATACAGAGTAATCTTGTCCTAAATATTAGCTTTATAGGGGTTGGGGGTGAAGAACAGTGTGGGGGAGTGCCTTGAGTCCCTGCTTTCATTGCTATGGGAAGGAGAAACTGACTTGGAGAATGAGGTCAGCCAGGTCCTGCCCCAGACCAGGTCTGAAACCCTGCCTGACCTGGCTGGCTGGTTCTGGCAGGAGCAGTTCCCTGCCGCTCACCTCCCTCCTCTTCACGCCCCACCTCCGTTTCTGATTCAGTGGGTAGGGGGCGGGAGCCCTGTCCCACATCTGGGCCTCTCCACCCTTTTCTGCTGCTGTTAGTAAACAAGGGGCCACACCCACGGGTGACTGCACCAATGAGAACATGGGTTGATGCACATCAGGTCCTAAGTGGCATAAGTCCAGGCCAGGGTCATACACAGGAAGCCCCCAGGGTCAGTTATCAGGGAGCAGCTGGGAGACAGGGAAGTATGGGGAGACCTGATACAGAATGACAAGATAGAGCTCGATGGCAGAATAGGCCCTGGCCTGAGTCACGAGGGTTGCCTTTGTCCCGTGGGGACCCTAAATCCCTATTTAATGTCTAGGATTAAGCATACAGATGTTGGAATTGGACTGGCCTGTGTTTGAATCCCAAAGAGGCCATTTGCCAGCTGTGACCTAAGGGAATCTCTTTGACCCCTTTTGGAGCCTGCTTCCTCATCTGTCAGAGGGAGGTCAGGACAAGTTTTCTAGTGCTGTTGTAGACTGAATGGAATAGCAGGTGTAAGGGGCTCAGTTAGTGACGCCACTATCTTATTACCTACTTCTGTAGCGCATTACAAGGATCAGATGATATAATGGATATAAAATGTGGTGGGTTTTTTTTTTTTTTTTTGCCAATTTAAAGAAAAAAGCTAGATGAACATCTGGAGTTCTTACAGACCAGCGCTTCCCGAAGTGTGTTCTGTAGAGAAATGGTTCCCCGGGGTTGTTAGTGTCTGTTCCTTTTTTTTTTTTTTTTTTAAGTGGAGGGGGGTGGTGCAGTCAAAATGTTTTGGGAATGCAGAATTAAATGAGAGTAAAGTTAAGTTTCTTTCTTGCTAAACTTTTTACTCTGTAACATTAAGGTGCACTATGGATCTTCAAGGGAGGGACAGAGTAGGTACACCTAATTGCCCAGGGGTGCCTGTGATTGGCAATTTTACAGAACAAACTGAAGAGAAAAATGGGGTTTGGTGTTAGTATGCCTGTCATCACGTGCTTGCTCATCCCCATTTGAAACCTGCTGGCTCTCAGCATTATTACAGATTAATCCACATTTGGGGTTTCAGGCCCGGGGGAAGCTCCATGGTCATCTTGTTTAGTGTTTCCCAAACTTCGGTCCTTCCGGTACCACCTTCACTCATCCTCTCTAAGTGCTACTGGACCATTCTCGGCTTTTCTTTTAAATCTATTTTTTTCTTAAGTAAGTGTAAAGGACAACTTTATAGCTCTGCTGTATGCGGAAAGCCTCCCTTGCCATAAAGAGCAAGTGTACAAATAAGAGCCGTGAAAGTGAAACAATGTGATTAAATCTTGCCCTCAGCTGGGGCTTGCTGGTCCTAACCTGTGATTGACTTTTCTAGCTCTTTTCTAAAAATGGGGAGGAGAAAGTTGGAGAATTACTTTTTAAAAACCAAACTGAATGCTTCTCAATTTGTGATCAGAAAGATTTAAAGAGAATTAGAGAGGAATCACCTCCTGTATGATTCAGCATTTATTTACTCTCCCACACACCATCTAAATTCTTAGTTCTGGTACCAGTACATAGCCCCGGCTTGAGTAAACACAGACCTGGGCCAACGCTCCATTCCCCAGAGAAGGAAGTGGACCCAGGAGGGGGACTCCCTTGCCTGGGGCCACACAGCGGTGGATCGCTGACCTGGGGCTAAAACTGGAGTAGAGTTCAGTGACAAGATGTTCAGCCAGGCGCCTGGGGCTCTTTGGAGACCTGTCCTCTAGGACTGATCTGGAATAACCTGGCTGGAGAGGTGGGGCTCTGTTTCCAGAGGGGTCCTGAAAATCAGCTCAGAGATCAGCCTGGGTTTTAGCTCAGAGGGTCTGTCTGAAGAGGGCTGCCCTGTTGGGAAGGGATCTGCCCCCGCACCCTGCCCAAGAAGGGGCAAATGGGCAGCAGGTCCAGGCACTGAAGCTCATCTTTGTCTTTCTCTCCCCGTGCTGCCTTGGGCCTGGGTCATTCAGACAAGCCTCAGGTAAGATGGGACTGGGCTCCCCAGCTGCTGCCCTCACAGCTCTCACTCCTGGGCTCAGTCTCAGGGGTGAAGAGGTGGTGGTGAGGAGGGAGGGGGCCCATGGGCACTTGCACCTGCCTTGACCCCCACCCTCCCTGCAGCTCTACACCCTCGCCGTGATGGGCCCAGGGCCACCAGATCGCCAGCCAGCCCAGATCTCTCGCCGCTACTCAGACTTTGAGCGATTGCACAGAAACCTGCAGCGGCAGTTCCGGGGCCCAATGGCTGCCATCTCCTTCCCCCGTAAGCGCCTGCGCCGTAATTTTACTGCAGAGACCATCGCCCGCCGCAGCCGGGCCTTCGAGCAATTTTTGAGCCACCTGCAGTCAGTGCCTGAGCTGCGCCAGGCCCCGGTACTGCAGGACTTCTTCGTGCTGCCTGAGCTGCAGCGGGCACAGAGCCTCACCTGTACCGGGCTCTATCGTGAGGCTCTGACACTCTGGGCCAATGCCTGGCAGCTGCAGGCCCAGCTGGGCATCCCCGCAGGCCTAGACCGTCCTCTGCTGACGCTGGCTGGGCTGGCTGTGTGCCACCAGGAGTTGGAGGACCCTGGGGAGGCCCGGGCATGCTGTGAGAGGGCCTTGCAACTGCTGGGGGACAAGAGCCCCCACCCTCTGCTGGCACCCTTTCTGGAGGCCCATGTCCGGCTTTCCTGGCGCCTAGGATTGGACAAACGCCAATCAGAGGCCCAGCTCCAGGCCCTCCAAGAGGCAGGCCTGACCCCCACGCCACCCCCCAGTCTCAAAGAATTGCTTATCAAGGAGGTACTAGACTAATCCTTTCTAGACTTAAGGCTTTTGTGGGGAGAAGTGCTGCCCCAGGTTGAAGCAGGGGTGGTGAGGACACGGTCAGCAGTTGGGAGGCTATAGGGGGTGCTGGAAACCCCTCAAAGTTCCACAAAGAGCATGTAGCAGACTGAGGAAACATGCTGCTTCTGTTGAGCTGGGCTCAGGACAAGCTATGGCTGAGGCGCGATGGCACAGGAAGCCCTGCACAGCCTCTCTGGGGGCTGGAGGCTGTGCCCCAGGTCAAGGTTAATGTTCCCTTCTCTGTGGGCCTCCAAACCAGTGAAGGGTGCCTGGGATGCTCCTCTGGTGTCCTGGAGTTGATGGCTGGAGGGAGGGCTGAGTTCCAGCCCAAGGGAATTAAAGGCCAGCAGCTCCAGTAGTATCAGTCTCTTTATTGGATGTGAGGGACGGGAGGCTCAGCCCCCAAATGTAATTCCCGGCTCAGGAATGGGCGAGAAGGGAGATCCTGAAGACCAGGCTGGTACCTCTGGCTACAGCATACTCTTTAAGACCTTGGGCTTCACTCGGATCACACCCTCCTGGGCACAGGACACAGCCAGGACCCCGTCCTGACGCCACAGCCTCCCATGGACCAGCCCCCGGCCGCCACCTGTGTACAGGGAGAAGGGTGAGAATGGCCTTATCTCCTTCAGCAGAGCCAAACATGCTTCTAGAAGAGGCTACTGCCCAGGTTGGGCTGCCCCCCACAAGGACCCGCTGAGTATTGAGGTCACTCCAAATCTCCAAGTGCCCCTTTATGAGATGGTATGGCCTGGTGGGTCCTGAGGAACACTTCCTCCCATAGGAACCCCACTTGACATTTAAAGCACTTTCATATATGTACTCACTTCCTTAAAAAGATCACAGAGGGAAGGGGCGGGGGGAGGTCTGAGCAGCTTAGCTAAGCAGATCTGCCCCTACCTCTGGCCACTTCGGTTAGGCAATTCATCAGTTCCTTTTAGTATAAGTCACACCAGGACCTTCAGACTTGTAACTCATGAAAAATACCTCACAGACACACACCTAAGTGGTTGAAGAGAGGAGACCTGGGGCCAGGTCTGGCCACTCTCCGCCCCCACCCAAAGACTCCCTTTACTGGCCCTTGGGCCTGAATCGGATGTTGGCGAAGGGAAGTGCTACTTCCCTAACATAGGAGAGTGGACTTAGTTCTCATAGTAGCCAAGTGAAGCCGGCATTGTTGTCCCATTTTCCAGGTGATGACAGTGAGATCCAGGGAGCTCAGGCACTTGGCCTTAAGGATCAGACCAAACCTGAACCCAGGGGTCCTACTTCCAGGTGTTGATCCCATACTGTGATGCTCTCGGTACTAGATCCCCTACCCCCAGTATAAAAGTCCCTGAAGTTTTGTCCCTGTTTAACAAAGCTTTTCTTCATTTCAAATGCACTTCCTTGGAAAGGTACGTGGGACCCTGAGACTGGACACTGATGGAGTCCGACTTTGTCAACTTATGCGGGGTGTCTCAGTGACTACCCCCTGCCCTGAACCAGATTAATCATCAAAACCACTCAGGGAATTTATAAAATCCAGGTTCTTGTACCTCACCCAAGACCCACTCAGTCACTGAGAATCTATTTTGAAAAATCCACCCCCCTCCCCCCAAGCAGCAGGCTGATAGGCCATGAGAGTTGGCTGCCCTGGCTCTGTTGCACACCCACTTGTTTAGATGGCTCACAGGCTCAGATAGGAGATGGGACTTGCCCAAGATCATACAAAGAATCTAAAGTTCTGGGACAAGAACTGGGTCTGAGATGAAGCGGATCATGTTGCCAGCGTGTTGTCCAAATGAAGAGCTGAGAGCCTGTCCTCAAGCCTCACCCTGTCGTTTTGAAGACGAGGATGCCAAAACCCCTACCGGCAGTGTCCCATAGAAGTGGGCAGGGGGCAGCATCACCCAAGAAAGCAGGCTCCCTGCAACCCCAAGGTCAGTGCCCTGGTCCCACTCACCCACATACTCACCAGCCCAGGGGCTCTCACACTCATAGAGCATCCAGTGGTCGGCTCGGAAAGGGGCGTGGAACCACATGGAGTGGTCCAGGGAGGCCATGAAGTGCACCTCATGCTGCCGCCGGTGGGGCAGCACTGCTGTGCCCAGGAAGGCGTAGTCCGAGATGTAGGCCGCCACGCAGCAATGCATCTTGATGTCACCCTCCCCTGCAACAGGTTCGGGCCCCATCAACCCTAGCCTCCTGGCTTTATAGCTCAGGACCTGCAGGGAGGTGGGGAGGAAGGGGCTCTGTGCACAGACGTGCAGACTCTCACTGCACACGGGCACCTGGCCCGAGGTGTGTGTGAGCGGGGGGGTGACTGAGTACTGAAATCTGGTCTTCACTGCTGAGCCCCTCACCTATCCCTGGTGACATGTCTTCTGATGTGTACAAAGGCACCTATGGTTAGCAGTGGGCCTGGAGAAGAATCTCAAGACGGTGCCTTGCCTTAGGATTATAGTTACCTCCTTACTCCCCCTGTACAAAGGGCCGAGAAGCCCTAGTAAAAAAGTCGAGCCAGCGTCTCCATTGCCAGATAAAGTAACAGGCCCAGAGCCCTGGAAGAGTCTTCTTTCAATCCATGGGGTCTTCTTACCAATATAGCCCCGGGCTCGCACCCAGAACATCTGTTTGGGCTCCACATGCTGCAGTTGGCTCGAGGTGGGTGGGTTTACCAGCTTGATCTCAATGGGCACCTCCTGCGCAGCAATTCGGTTCATTCCCACTTGGTACTTCTCTAGGAGGTTAGGGTCTCTGAAAGTAAAGGGGAGAGGGACCAGGAGAGCCCCAGGAAGAGGAGCCTCTCCTCTGAGCTGCCTCTTCCGACTCCTCTCACTCCTCACAGGGACTCCTGACTTCCCCAAAAGTACTCCACGCCCCTAGCAGGCAGGATAGTACAGCAGGTCCCTGAATAACGTCATGTCATTCAACATTATAATGCTGGTGAGAAAAAAAAACCCGACCAACATTGAGGGAACCGATGCTAATCGAGAACTTGCACTCATTGATTGTCCTTTGTGTAAAGTCGCAGTCAAGAACCCACCGAGGACATCAAGTGAGGACTTGCTGTAGTGAGTTTGAATCCCTTCTTTGCTGCCATATGGCCGTGTGCAAGTGAGTCATCTGAGCCTATTTTCCCACCTGCAAAATGTGGCTAATGACACACCTACCTCATAATCCCTACCGTGGAGAGGCCAAGACAATGTATCTAAAGCCAACGCATCTCAGGCACTGGGCGCACCTGTGCCCTCTCGTCCATCAGCTCCTTCCTCCTAACCACCCTGCGAGGTCGATGCCATCATCATCACCCCCATCCGATAAATAAGCGCAGAGAATCCAGTGCTTGCTCAAAAGTAGAGAAAGTGGGACTAGGAATCAGGCCATCTGGCTCCACGGTTCATATTCTAACCCACTTCACTATTCTAAACAATCACGGAGCAACCGCCCAGCTCGCACTACCGCATCACCTAACTCTAGGCAACAGGGAATGCTGTCGCTGGGGCGGGGGCCCATTTCCAGCGCCTTCACGCCAGTAACAACCACCCCTAGAGCCCTTCACTGAGGTTTCTATTTTCACCCCTGTCCTCCAGGAGCTGCTCCGTAGACTTTTTCTGTGACGATGGCACATTCTATATCTGCATTTCCTCTGTGGTAGCCACTAGCCACAGGTGGCCAGAAGTGCTTGATGTGGGCAGCGGGATGAGGAACTGAACTGTTAATTCCATTTCATGTTGACAGCGCCGCACATGGCTAGTGGCTTCCTTACTGGACAGCACAGCTGTTGATTTAGGGACCTTTAAAACATCTTCCTTTCATTCTGGGGAACATTTGTGAGCTCGGAGTCCTCTCTGTCAACAGTGGCATCACTGCAATCCCCTGAGCTCTCACCAAGCGCCTTATTATCTCGTCTCACTTAGTCCTCACTCAGCCTTAATGGAAAGGAGTTATGGTCATTACCACCCTGAGGACACAACTTGCTCAAACTCACCCAGCTAGCAGAGAGAATCTAGATTTGAGCCGACTCTTCCCAGGTTCCAACCCGCATCTGTCCCATCACCCCCTGCTGGCTGCTGGGCCACAACTAACCATGCAGACAGAGGTGGTCTCCCTAGACATGGCCATGACATAGGCAGAGCACCAATGACCATTCTCATTTTTAAATGACAAGCAGGGCTCAGAGGCTGTGTGGCACTTGTAGCAGGAGAGTGCTGACACGCACAACCCCGGCCAGAATCCCTGTGTCTGTCCTGGGTTGGGAACAGAGCTCTTTCCCCTGTCCCAGCATCACCCCAACTAATAAGCTATAGTCCAAGTACAAAATATATTTTGCCAGGTGATAGTCATAATATCTAACACTAAACAAAGGCAACAAACCCACCCCTGCCAGGCTGCCCTCCCTCCGAGGCTGCTGGAACTCGAGAGGAGAGGGATCACGCAGGGGGTGGGGAGGTTAATATTTACCAGTGGTTCTAGAAATATTTTAATAAAAGTGTAACAACCAACAAAGCTCATAGTACCCGAGCTGGCTGAGTGATAAGCCCTGCATTTTACACGGTGACCCATGCACACATGCTCACACACATTTAACCTGCGAAGTTTCACAAGAGGACTCTCACCTACTCCTTTTCTAGGCTGTCATAGTTTTTAAATGCTGGTCCAAACCCACCACAGGAATTCATGACTACTGCAGTTTGAACCCTGTCCTGGAGCCTCCAGGTCTCTCACCTTACATAATAGTCCAAGAGGGTCTCACTGTCAAGCAGTTCCTCAGGTGCGGGCACAGCAGGCATGGAGAACTGGTGCTGCATGGGGCTGGGCTGGACCTGCTGGAAGGAGGCCTGGCAGATGAAGATGGGCTTGCCATGTTGCACCGCCTTCACGGAGCGCACCGAGAAGCTTGCCCCAGTTCGTGTCCGTTCCACTTGGTACAGTACTGGCACCTTTGGGTCTCCTGCAATGGGCACGAAGGACACAGTGAGTCTCCTAGGCCTGGTCTTTCTCCAAGCCTTTTCTGCTCATGCTTTACTTTTTTTTTTTTTTTTAAGATTTATTTATTTATTTTTATTTATTTATACAAGAGCTAGAGCACAGTCCAGAGTTGAGAGGGTAAGAGGATTCACCAGAGACAGAGTGGGGAACAGAACAGGCAGATGAACCGAAGGAACTGCTGAGGGGAGCAGCAGGCGAGACAGGTCTGCCTCGCCATGTGGGATTCTCCCTGGCCAGCTGGGAATCGAACTGGCGCTGCAGAGGCTGCGGACAGCTTCACAGCGCTGTGCTCAATCCGCTGCACCACCGGGGAGGCCCGCTTATGCTTTTCTAGTGATCGAGGTCCTCTAAGGCTCAGGCCCTGGGGATACAGAGAACACCAGACCTGTGGCCTGCTCCCAGTGGTGGTGGAGTAACTCTCTGACGGCAGCGCAGAACCAAAGGGGCAAAGCCAGATTCCCTGCATTCAATTCTGGCTCTGCCGCTTAGCAGCTGTGTGACTTTGGGAAGGTCACTTAACCTCTCTGAGCAGTATTCTCATCTATAAAATGGGGGTCATCACAGCATTCATCTCTCTCAGGACTTTTGTAAGTATTCAATGGGGTCATAATTTGAAAGTGTTTAGAATAATATCCAGCACATAGTAAGTGTTCTGGGCTTGCTAAGCAAAATAAATACTCTCAGCTTTTGTCTTGTTCCATCTGTAACTGGGACCCTGCCATGGGTCTAGTCCCTTTTGTTCAGATCAGGGGTCAGCAAATCTGGGCCACTGCTAAATTTTTTGTTGTTTTCTTTCTTTTTGAGAACAAGCAAAGGCTGTTTATTCAGAGTTTATAAAGCAAGGGAGTCAGCCACCATCACTTATATTTGGCAGAAATTCAAAGGCTCTCCGATGGAGGGATGGGAGAGTTTATTGTGAACAAAGAGCTCTCACACATGCCCCGCTGGAGGCTATTGGCATGGGAAGGTGTAGGCCGGCTAACTAGAAGCAGGACATCCTTTATAATTGGTTAGGAGTTTATATTTGACTTTCTCTAATTGGCCCTAAGTTCCCCAAAAATTAGGGAAGCTGTCAGTTACTGTTTGGACTGATTGATACAAGGGCTATCGTTTGGCTTCCCAACTGGTTGCTAGAGATCATGTATTTTGGATCATGTATTTTGTGTATGGCCTGGCCATTGTCTAACTGAATATTAATTCTCTCAGGAAAAACCTGCTGTCAGTCATTTCATCCTTGATACAAACAGAAGTCACCGGGCCCTTCTCCTTTGGCTTGGCTGTGCTCACAGCGCGGGAGGCAAGGGATCAGCCCCTGTTCAGGACTATCCGCCTTTGACATGCAGGTGGGGAAAAGTTTTTGGGGGGGGAGAAAGCCTCCCAGGGGGTCCTTGAATCCTTCACTGTCTCTGCATCAGGGTGACCTTAGAGAACCCTGACACTTAGTCAGTGAGATGTCTGTGGGGCACCATTTTCAACTTTCAAATGAGAAGAGATGAGAGAAGCACTGCCTCCTCTCCCCCAATCCAAAGGGGAAGTCGGCCAGCACCAGGATTCACTTATCTGAAGCAGTAACTTCACCGTGAAACCTGGCTGATTTGCTCAGTTCTGTTACCCATCTTTACCAGAGGGCACTAGCATCAGAATAGGAACTCATCAAGGTGAGAGGCCTTTAAGAAAGGTTTCCTGGGCCTCCCTGGTAGCCTACGGGTTGAGTCTCAGGCTGTCACCCCTATGGCCTGAGTTCAATCCCAGGCCAGGGAGCTGACCCACATGGTGCGCAGACCTCTCCTGTCTCACCTGCTGCTCCCCTCAGCAGTGTATTTCAGTAGATCTGCCTGTTCCCCACTCTCTCTCTGGTGAATCCTCTTATCCCCGCTCTTCTGACCTGTTCTTCTACTCAGGAAAAAAAAAAAAAATGGTCCAGACCCAAGAGATAGCTACTTGTGCCATCTGATTTCAGGGATGAGGAAAGAAGCCTCCCTTTCCTACTACTTTTTAAAGTAGTAGAAGAAAAAAAAGCAACAGAGATGCGAATCCCCTTGGGAGGTTCGCAGTCCTTCCAGTGATTGGTAACTTGCCTTTCAGTGTGAATGAGTTTTAGACCTATTCTTGAACATTTTTACTGGAACAGAGCAGGTAGGCCCTGAACAGAAGGGAGGGCTAACAGGCAGTGAGTGCTGTGTGCCGGGAGTTACTCACGTGGGTCTTCTTGTGCTGGTCTCACAATAACCATGCAAATTAGGTCTTAATGTACAGAAGGGGAAACTGATGCAATAAGTTACACTTTGGGGGAATACAGCCTGTTTTTTTACATATTGTCTTACTGATGCCCTTGCCCACAAAACCTAAAATATTTACTATCTGGCCCTTTACAGAATAATGTTTGCTGTCTGTTGCTCTAGAATTTCCAAGCCCTAAACCTATACCAAGTCAGATGACTCTGTAGTATATTCTCTTACCTCTCTGGAGAAATACTTTGCAGAAAAGTTTAGAGCCCCCTCCCCCACCACCCGCAAAAAAAAAAAAATAACAACACTCTAGGCTTTTAAAGAATTGATATGATAAATGGCAAGGATCAACATACACACACCATGCATGCACACACACACATCAATCCCTAGTATCTTATATTTTAAAAATCATTAGAACATCATCATTAGTTATAACATTTGATGTACTCAGAAGAGGGTCACATCACAATCTGGTAAGAGGATTTCCCTTTTTTTTTTAATATTTATTTATTTATGCAACAAGAACTGGGGTAAACGTCAGAGTGCAGGGGGTGAGAGGATTCACCAGAGACAGAGCGGGGAGCAGAACAGGCAGACTGACTGAAATACACTGCTGAGGGGAGGAGTGGGTGAGTCAGGAGAGGTCTGCTGCGCCATGTGGGTCGCTCCCTGGCCGGGGATTGAACTTGTGCTGCAGTGGCTGCAGACAGCTTCATAGGTTGCATCTTAACCCCTTGCGCCACCAGGGAGGTCCAAGAGGATTTCCCTTTTTGCCTTGCTGCCAGGAAGCCCAGAACTAACTTTCATATAAAACTGCAACATGCTGCGGTCCAATTTATTGACAAATCATTTTCCCCAACTCCCTGTACCACTAGCCTCCTGCCTTTTATTTTAATAGTCCTGTAACAGCTGCCAATTATTATAAGCTGTCTTGCTGCCTTTCAGGAAGCAAAGAGGGACACAATTAATTTTGAATTTTGATTAATTTTGAAACAGTAGCTTGGGCATAGACCCTTTCACGCTAAACCTGGATGCAGAATTTCCAAGGAAAAGGCTCCTTCCCCTAGAACCTTGGCAGCTCTCTCATCTTTGGAATTATGTAAGAGTGAAAGATGTGCAGACAGAGGAAAGAGAGTGCCTGCACTCCCACAAACTCAGGACTTGAGTCCTGGCTCTGCCCCACAGAGCACCATGGCAGCTGATTACATAAACCCTTAGGGTCCCAGTTTGAATGGTGGCAATAATGCCCCCCCCCTTCATGTTTACTTATGAGGACTAAACAGGAGAATGTACACAGTGGTGCTCTGTATTATGCATGTTTTAATTATCCCTTTAAATTAATCAAAAATTAGTAATACTTATGGGAAACTAGCAACATGCCAGGTCCTGCACTAGATAACTTTACCTGTGAGATCTGAAATTGCCTATTGGACCCTTCTCCCTGGTCTCACAGGCAGGAAGGAAGTTCAAACACCTGCATAAACTTGAGCCAGCACTGGCTGGCCCTGTTCGGGGAAGAAGTCGGGTGCAGGAGAAGAAGTGAAATCAACAACCTCTCAGTCTGTTGCTGACCAGAGGGCAGCTACAGACTGACCAAACAACTAGCAGCCAACCATGAGTCTCCTAAGTTGAGTCTGGATAAAGTTTAACTGTCCTGAGGTCTCGCCTCCCTTGCTACATAGACAGCAGTCTCTGAGCCAGAACAACCCAGAGAGTTTTGACACTCTGGGGTGTCAAAACAGGTGAAAACCAGCAACCCTGGCAAGACCTAATGTATTACTTGACTTCAGTACTGTTTTTCTTTTTTTTTAAGATTTATTTATACAAGCACTGGGTACAGTCAGAAGCGTGGGAGGGTGAGAGAATTCACCAGAGGCAAGCAGGGAACAGAACATGCAGACGGATGAAATACACTGCTGAGGACGAAATACACTGCTGAGGACGAAATACACTGCTGCGGGCATGGCAGGAAAGGTCTGCATGCCATGTGGGACCCTTGCTGGCAGCCGGGGATCAAACCGGTGCTGCAGAGGCCGCAGCTCAGCGCTCAACCGCTGCGCCACCAGGGGAGGCCCAGTACTGTTTTTCATAAGAAAATGATTCCCTTCTTTCCTAGAGTCTATCTCACCAAACCTGGCACCCAATTCCCTCAGGCTAAGATCAGTCTGTTCCCAGGTTCTAATCCTTGATTATCTAGTAAGGTCTGTAATTATCATTAGCACTGGGATTTTCACTTCAGTCCACACCTGTAAAAACTCAATTCTTTCAGAAACAAAATGAAGAAACACATTTCTTTTCTTTTATAAGATTTAAAGAAACACATTTCAAGGTTTTGGGTGAGCCCCCTCCCCACACACAAAACAAAGCAAAACTCTCCCTACGCTAGAAGGGTCACATATCAAAGCAAGGACTAAATCCCAAAGGGCAGCACTTTGGGAGTTTACAGCCAAGCCGAAGAAATAAAGGGCATGTTTGTTCCTAATTAATAGAGGTAAGTGCGGACTGGACCCATGGTGAGTATTCAGGTATCTTAGAGCACTTGCTTCTCAGGAAGAGTCAGGTAATAAGTGGATGGGGAGTGTAGAATGAAAAGGTATATTTACTATTGTAACTATTTTATATTTATAAAAGGAAGTGGGAAATCCCACTGTTGTTTTCTTAATACAAATCACATACTGTAAAGCTCCACACATTCTCAGCCCTTGGGTCTATGTAGAAGATAATGATCGTTAAAATTGGAGGCATCTGCCCTAGGAGAAGTGAAAGGGGAAAGTGAGTGGTGAGATTTTAATATTTTTCAAAAGAGAGCATAGTTTTCAACAAAAGACTACTCTCTCTTTGATCCAGAGCTGCGAGCAGGTAGAAATCAGCTGCTTAAAATGTCCTTGATTATGCCCGTCTCCATTTTACAGGTGGGATATATCAAGCCTCACTCAAAGCCACACAGCAAATTAGTGGCTAAGCTGAAATCAGACCCTAGTTTTCTAGATTCCCAGGCTGGTATTCTCTTCTCCAAATCAAGCTGCCTACCTCCTAACCCTTAGCAGAGGTTACAACACCCCACTGAGGATCCAGCACAGTACTAGGCACCAGAAAGCATGTAAAGAACAAGAACAAAAGACCCACAAGGAGCAATTAAATAAGTGTCTCTCCTGTCATCATGGGCCCAATAACAGGTACCTGATGCGTCTCCACTGGTGTGGTCCAAGGCTTTTCTAGGGCCCACCTCTCAAATAGGCCTCTCCCTTCCTTCTCCCCTCTCTTCCTCTCTTCTTCCTTCTCCACTGTCAACCCCTACTGGGATAGGAAGAAGTGGTGGCTGGGCCACTAAGGCTGGGTTGAGGGCAGGAAGGGGATGGTTTACCTGCCCGAACGAAGTAGCAGTGCAGGGAATGTACATGGACGTCTTCACTCACAGAGTTGGCTGCAGCCACCAAGGCCTGGCCCACAATCTGACCCCCGAACAGCCGATGACTTCTGGGAACCCAGTAATGCCTTCCTCTGTAGGGAGAAAGGGAAAGGCTTGGAGTCTGGGCCAAATCTTGGGACCATCAATGGCTACCAGTGCTCATTTTGGGGATTGGGATCCTTTTGAGAAACTGGAGAAAAAAATGAACCCCTTCCCCAAGCAAGTATCCATACAATACTCTGCATACAATAATGGCCTCCTGGATCATTCTGTGAACTTCAGGACCACCTGATCCATCAATGGATAGGATAGCAAATCAGTCCCCTTATATTACACTAAAAGAACAGGGATCAGAGAGAAGTGACTAGAACAAGGTCACACAGCTTAAATACTTTCTATCCCGAATAGTACCTGGGCCGCCTTATCTCAAATCCAGGGTTTCTCCCATTGCCCATACAAAGGTGAGGTAGAAGCCTCTAAGTCAATCAAGATGAACCCCAAGAGCTCAGGGTGGAATGTGTTAAGGCCTGCCATTTACACCCCTTAACATTGACAGCCTAGTTGCCCAAGAACTAGACTTCGAGTGTGAACGGCCCTCACACTCTTCAGTTTACAGGTGAGGAAATGAGGCCCCAGAGTTTAAAAGGCGTCCTCAGTGGGGGCTCTGTGAAGGGTGTAGATCCCCAGCTTCCACCATCCAGGCCCCTAAGCCAAGCTAAGCAATCAAAGTATTGCAAATGGCCCTCCAAGAGTGTCGGGGGTGGGTAAGTTAACACTGAAGATAACTTCCAGTAAGCCACTTTAGCCTTAGAGGCCAAAACTTAAATTTCCAGCTGCTGTCAAGACTTTTAAGTGGCATTGAAAATGCTGTCTCAGAATGAGTAATCACCCCGCCAAGTGGTCGGAATGGGTATAAAGAAGGAAAAAATGAATATGCACGGAGGTGCAGATAAATTTTAAATGTGATCAGCTGTGCGCCCTGGGACGCATCACCGCCCTCTCATGACTGACTCCCCCAGGGACAGGACCCCTCAGGACAGGCTGCGAGAAGGCTGTCTCAGGTCACCGCTTCGTTCGCCCACGTCACCAGGTGATGAGAGGGAGAGAAGACCCCCGGAGCAGCGGTAAGAGTTGTGTCAGGGGCCGCGGCCGAGCCGGCATCCCGCGCGAGCCCCTCCTCGCCCCGGCGCAGGGCGCTAAGGGGCGGCAGTCACGATCAGGAGCCTCGGTCCCGACGCGGGGGTGCGGGCCAGGTGGGCCCGGCTACCTGAAGAGGTCCTCGTCCAGCGGCTCAAGGTTAAGGACACTAGTGACCAGGACGCTGCGGAGGTCCCCGGGGGGATCGCCGCCCTGCTCATCCTCCGGGGCCTGCGGGGATGACATATCGTCGTCTCTATGGTCCTGAGGGTCGCGCCGGACCCGACGCGAGCAAATCCACTCAGAACGTGCAGCTTCCGGCAGCGTTTTCTAGTGACCGGAAGTTCTCCGCGTCCCGGGAAAAGCGGGGTGGAGGTGAGGATTGGTCAGTGCTCCTGTCAGTCTTCGGGTGAGTGCGCTAGCGTCCTCTCGCGATTGGAGGAGATGAGTGCCAGTCTGGGAATCTCGCGTGTTATTGGACATGGGCGCGAGGGGCGGAGCCCCGGGCTGAATAATAAGGGCTGAGAGTCATTTCCCCTCTTGTCAGAGAGCGAGAAGCCCCCAGCCCCGCGGAGCCGCTTGAGGCCGGGGGCGCCCCCAGAGCTCCGCAGCAGGCCGCCCAGTTGGGGCCGACCGTTCAGCCAGCCTGCGCCCGCACCAGCCGGTCGCCCCCTCAGCGTGACCTCTGACCCCTGGTGTTTCTCTGGGGGCGGTCATGGAGCTGGGCAGCTGCTTCAAGACCTACGAGGACTTCAAGGAGTGCTTCAGCGCCTACAAAAAGGAGAACAGGTGCTCCTTCATTCTCAGGGACTGCGTCTCCGTCCGCTTCCACAACCTCAACCACGGCACCTCCATCCGCGAGGACATCCTGTAAGGGCGGGGCAGGGGCGGGGCGCAGGGGGGCAGGGGCCGGCGGCCCCAGGAGGGCGGCCTGGAGGAGGCGGGGGAGCACGTGGGCCCTGGCCTCGTTGAGCGGCAGGCACTCGTTGAGCGCCGGCTGTGGGCTAGTGAAAAAAATGAGCAAAACCTGCTTGGGCATGGCTTTTGAAACACCCACGTCACCTTCCCTGGCCCCTTCATGCTCAGCTTTTCTAGAATTCATGATAACTACAATTTGTCCCTTTTTTTCTGAGCACCTGCAGTAGCCCAGACACAAAATAGAACCTTCACAAATGATTTTTTAAAAAAGCAAAACCCACCTTAGGGAGAAATTCCTTCCTCAAGAACAGGTCAATCGTTGGTTGGTTCGTTCATTCATTCATTCATTCATTTTGTAAATGGTTGTTGACTTCCTGAGGTTAACCACCATTTTTTTTCAAAGACTTTCCACATCCCAGGCAGTGGTTTCTATTCTGTGCATGTTTTATCTGCAGGGCTGCATTGAGAATTATAGATAAGTGTTATTTTTCCCATTTGGCAGATAAGAAAACAAAACCATCTTGGAAGCTAAAATAAGGGTTGAGAACATAAATACCTTCAGGGTTATGGTGAAACCGCCCTGGATAAGACGTTTAACTTTTACTAAAAGAAAAAGAAAGATGAGATAACCCACTCCAGGTCTTTGTGCCAGGAACAGCAGAAATGTAAGCTGGGCAAAATCAGGTCCTAGCTAATTACATCCAGCTGATGGCTGCCATGTGAAAATGAAGATCAAGAGTTGTCAGAATTTGGGGCAAGAGGGGTTGGATATCCAGGCCTTATGTGGAATTGAAAATCATTTCAGATTTGATCACACATTATGTGGGCCAGCTCCAAGCCTCAAAGTATATGAGTTTGAGACCTCCGAGTGAGATGTTTGGCCAGAGCTCCACGTCTGGGCTGCAGGATATATATGTTTTTTCCACAACTCTGAAGCCCAGTGCTATGCTAGGTCACAAAGGTGAATATGTACCCAGATCTACCCTCAAACTGCTTAAGATGGGATAGTGTTGGACCCAAGTAAACTGACCAGTATGTGATAAATGCCTTAAAAGGTGCAGAGGTGACAAATGCCTGGGACCTGGGGAAAGACTTCGCAACAGAAGCTGTGGCCTCTACTGGGCCACGAATAGCTGTGAAGGCTACAGCAGGACTTCGCTGCTTAATTACCGAGTTGCTTGGGGGAGTTTGACTAGAAAGTGTTTGTTGTGCAAAAGAAAGTGCAGAGCAAATGTACAGAGACGTGAAAGAAGGTGGCGTATTTGAGAAATACTGTGCAGTGCCATGTGTGGCTAGAGGTGAAGTCACTTGCAGTCTACCTGAAGGATTTTTAGCTATTGTTGTGAGGTGTTCAGATTTTTATCCTATGCTTGTAGTGCCTGTCTAACCAATGAGGATACTACACAAGTGCTCTTCTCTGGAGCTGCTGACAGTCTGGGTCAGATAAGGTGCAGTAGCTTCCCATGGCCCGTGTCATGAAGTCCAGGACCATCATCTGGCTCTGCAGTCCCTGTGACCCTCTGCCTCTCCATCCTGCACGGTGGGCTCCATCCCCATCAGGTCAACTTCACACTCAGTCCCCTCCCAAGCCCACAGCCCTTGCTCTTCCTGTGCATGTCTGCTGGATACAATACAATTTAACATTTTTTGTATAAATTCAGTTTTAACATTCAAAGAAGTCCATTATAGACCCAATCTAAGCTATGATATATAAGAATTAACAGTATTGTAGGCTCCCCTAAAAGCTATGTATTTATAAATATTAAATAGTCTTGGGTAATCTCAAGTCTTTGGACCATTGGTGGAGAAACTGTTGCTCTCCCTTCAGGGCTTACCTTATTTCCAAAGTCCTTAACACCCTTAAGATGAGGAGAGATACTCCTCTTGTCTGCCAGCATCTTTTACAGCTCTTAGCATTTTAATGCTCTGGAATAGAGCATGCAGAGGGTTCCCTGGTTTTGAATGCGCTCTTCCAGGAAAGGATTCTGGTTTACCTTTTTTTGATTTGTGTTTAGCTTGTGCTTAGCTCGAAAGAGCAAGCTCAAACACTTTACAATTGGCACCTCAATAAACACCCTTCAGGTAGCCCATCCCACAGGATCCTGCACAGGAGCTTGGCCCATAGAGGGCAAGACCTCAGAGAAAAATCCTGATGAATTGGAGAAGAGAGAAAGGACGAGAAAGAGAGCTGTGTCCCAGAAGATGGGAGGTGTCAGGAGGTTATTCGTTTTTATTTGCTGTACTGTTTTAACAAATGATCACAAATGTGGTGGTTTAAACAACACAATTTTATTATCTGACAGTTCAGTAGGATAGCAGTCACACATTTTGCTGGGTCCAAATAGCTGTGTGGCCAGGACTGCATCTCTTTCTGGAGTGTCTAGAGCAGAATCCATTTCTTGTCCAGCTCCCCCACTTCCAGACTCATGGCCCCCTTCCATCTTCAGAGCCCGCAATGACTGGATGAACCCTAATAGCATGCTGGCGTCGCTGCTGTGGTCCCATTGCCAGCCTTGGCACCATTCTCCTGCCTGCCTCTTCCATTTTTAAGGACCTCTGATTACATTTGGCCCACCCTGATAATCTAGAATAATTTCCCTTTAAAAAGTCAGCTACCTAGCAACCTTCATTCCATCTGCAATCTGAATTTCCCTTTGCCGTGTCACCTAACATTCACAGGCACTGGGTATTAGGAAGTGGATATTTAGGGGCACCATTCTGCCCACCACAGAAGGATTGATGTCCTGAAGGGAGAAGTGATACCAGTGCAGATGTTAACATGATGTGCTTAAAAGGCAACGAGGAGTCTTGCTGAGCTACCAGGAAGGTTTACGCTAGAGCAGCGGGAAGGAAGACTGGGGGGACTCGGGGAACAGATCAGAAAGTTGGTGCTGTTCTCATTTATTTATTTTTTAATTTATTAATTTATGCATACAAGAGCCGGGGTACAGGCCAGAGGTGTGGAGGGTGAGAGGATTCACCAGAGACAGAGTGGGGAGCAGAACAGGCAGACTGACTGAAATACACTGCTGAGGGGAGCAGCGGGCGAGACAGGAGAGCTCTGCTGCGCCATGTGTGTCAGCTCCCTGGCCAGAGATTGAATTAATCCTGCAGTGGCTGCGGATAGCTTCATAGTGCTGAGACTTAACCCCTTGCGCCACAGGGGAGGCCCCAATCTTATTTTTGTTTTTGAAAGTTGAACAGTTCTAAAAACAAAGTTGTTTTTGAGTGGTTAATACAGCCATTTAATTGAACATTTAATTTCAAACTATATAAAAGGGTCTAAAAGCCAGTGTCCTTTCCACTGTGTTGATTCAGAGGCAGCCACTGGTAAATTCCTGACACCCACAGAGCCTGAACAAGTATCCTTGTACGTGCCTGTGAGCTTCTCGTCACCACCAGGGTCTGCACACTGCCATGCGCACATCTTCCTGCACTTTGGTTTTCTCCATTATTAGTGATTTTTAGAGATTTTCCACATCACTAATTCCATTTTAAGGGGTAGTTATTAGTCATTGTTTACTGAAAACTCCATGAGTGTCTAGAAATACAATGTTGAACAGTAAATTGGGTCCCTGCCCTCTTGGAGCCTCCCTTCTAGCCAGGGAGATAAACATTAAACTATAATAATAGAAAGAATTAATTTTTTTCTTTAAAATAGTAGAAAAGCTCCAAAGATAGTCTAGGGTGCTGGGTGGGGAGTGACTGGGAGCCTTCAACTGTGTGTGCGGGAGAGGGGGAGTTGGGGTGTGAATGCTCGTTGACACTTGCAACCAGTACAGGCTCTTGACTAGAAAGCAGCCATCTGACACCTTCCTTGTTGGACCTGGTCCTCTGAATGACCTGTCAGCGGTTGGTTTTGGTCTTCCATGAAATGCATTAATACTGACAAATAGAAAATATTCTATTTTCTTTTTTTTTTCCCCTATTAACCAGCACACATTAAGTTTATTGAGGAAAGGAAAAAAGGAAAGAGAGACGCCTACACAGACACAGGCAAGCAATCTTAAAAGACAGGAGCTGCTGAAAATGTTCTGTTTTTTAGTACATAGAATATTCCATAAATATTGACCACTTATTATTATGCAGATGGGGAAACAGAGCCAGGAGAGGTTCAATGTTGAGAGAAGGCTAATAGTTTCTACCTCTCTGCTTTCCGTTTTCTGAGTTTCTTGCTCTTTGAAATCTGTTTTCTGAGTTCCACGTGCTTGAGGGTGGTAGACAGAGTAAAGGGAGCTGTCTCAGCCCCTAAGATAGTAAAGACTTGGCAAAGATAAATAATAAGATGGCCCATAACATAATGCATCCTCAGCCACAAAATTACCTGATGTGAACCAGGGAAGTCTAAATTTGGTGCAGTTACAGCCAAAATAAGAGGAAGTGTCAGAAAGGAAGAGCAAGTTGGAACAGGGTAAGATTTGTCAATCTACAC